CTATTCTTGTTGTCCCAGCAGTAGAGCATTGGAATCTATCCATCAAGTGACGATTGGTGTATAAAATTATGACTTGCAACATACTCGCTGCATGGAGGTGAATCATGGACGGTTAATAGATTAGTGAAGAATTATTTGGAAGCTGCGGAGATGTGGATTTATAGATGAATGACAAGAATACCCTGGACAGATAAAAAAAAAAAAAGAGTAATGAGGATTCTTGAGAAAAAACAAAAAAAACTGACTTACGAAGAGAACTGATTACTCACGCCAGAAAGAGACAATCTGCATTCTTATTCTTGTGATGAGAAGGAGAAAACAGAAGTACATTTTTACATCAGGAAAGTTAGAGGGATTGAGAGGCAGAGGGAGACGGACAGAAAAGATGCTGAACAGTTTGACATCATGGTATAGAGGAGAATCTGTGTCAGAGTTGATTGAAAGTACACGATCCTAAAGGTTGTTGATAGACATAACTATTAACGCCATTTAGCAAGGATTTTAAGAAAAAGATTATACGCCCAGTGCGTATATTAAAATGTCTCCTTTCCTTGACTTGGAAGCTAAACGAGAGGAAATGAAAATATATTTTCATTTCTTGATATCAATATTTGGCCTTCCTCAAAGCTTTATCTGGCAACCACAGTTTCCGGTAACAATATGGCGTCGTAGTATTTTGATGGCAGGTAAATTCTGCATGAAAGAAAAAAGGGGCTTTGATTAAAAAAGACATTGGTGTTTGTTAAAAGCAAAGCAATAATAAAATCGGGCATTAAAAGCGAACTACACTTTGTTTGAATGTAGTTTGTAAGTGAACTGTACATATGTATAAATTGCCGAGTACGTGGTTGTCATTTAAACTTTACTTTAAATTTAATTTAAAATTTAAAGTTAATATTAATAAATAACATTTTGAATCAGATTTGAAATTAGATTGGCATTCTGATTCAGTAACTAGTAACAAACGCAGTATCAAATATATCTGTTGTTACTCTTGTTTAGAGTATTTCAGGACAAATTGGCCTCTAAATTGACACTACACTGCAAAAATAAATATTATTGATCTTCTCACCAATTGGGCCCATACAATAGTTTAGACGACGACGTCGAACTAAACAATCATATTCTTGAAACGGTGCAACTATATCGGCCATGCACAAGATGCTCTCATATGGACGGAAAGGGAGAAAATAAAAAGGGGAAGACCACACCAAGGGAGACCTTGCATAGAACCATCATCAGAAAGGGCTCAACCATAGGTTCCGACAAACATCCAAGACCTACAACAGGTGACAGTGAACCACCAGAAATGGAGAGCAATGATGTTTGGGCTATCTTCCGAATAATGGTCCCAAATTATCGAGGCCGAAAATATACCCTAACAGGGCTTCACACTTGCGGACTTCCGGGGACTATACCGCCACCGCCGAATTGCGGACCTCCGGGGACTATACCGCCGCCGCGAATTGCGGACCTCCGGGGACTATAACGCCACCGCCGAGAGTAAATCCCACGCTGCTACCCGCAGCGTGGATTGGGGCTTAACTAGATGACTGGGACTCACGAGCAAATAAAATGAAGGAAGCTGTAGGAGATGCAGTAGCTGCTGCTTGTGAGTCCCAGCCATCTAGTTTAGCTCCAATCCACGCTGCGCGTATCGGCGGTGGCGGTAGTCACAGGAAAGTGCGCAATGAAATTCACTGGTTGTCCGCAATTGACACGTGACTGAGGCCCTGTTTGGGTATATTTTCGGCCTCGATAATTTGGGACAGTTATTTGGAAGATAGCCAACTTTTGCCCTATGCGCCGCCTTAAGCTCAGGAGGAGAGACTAACTAACTCCTGTTATATTGTTTGTGAAATTTTGAAGGAGTAAATTGGGGTACATATTTATTAAATTAAAATTTATACCATTTAGCCACAGCAAAAACTGAAAATCTCTGGTGCATCTGATATTTGAATAAACAATGTAGCTTTTTATCATATAGTAACGACACACACACACAAATATCTAGCTAAAATGGACTATGCGGCAATAATATCTATATCATCAGTAAATATATATGTGCGAAGGATTTGGGGGGGGAAGGCAGTGTGTACATGTGACATAGTGTTAACTTCGAAAAGAAAAAGCTGTGAGAGAATGCAGTAAATAAAAGAAAGACCCCCCTCCCCCACCAATTTTTAACCCTGCCTGGCATCCTGATTGCTATGGTGCCCCTCCCGGCTGGTTGCCTCCGACTTCAGCACCTTATTTTGCTAGGGTAGACTTTGGTCTTACTCGTGGACTCCCATATTTATAATTGAAGCATGGTTCATATAGCTATAATATCGATATTACGACACAACAGCCACTGCGGCTGTTTGACAGGATAAGCTTCATCATTACACCCCTAAACCACAGAATACTTAGTTTCTATGAATAACAAAATACCTGTCTTAAGATTTTCCTCCGAAGAACGGTCCTAAATTATTGAGGCTAAGAAAATACCCTAACAGGGCCTTAGTCATATGTAAATTGGCAGAGTCCTTTCCGGCGAGAACACCTCGGCAAAAGTAGGATTAATTTCTGGTGATAATTTCACCACACACAAAAATTATCACCATGGCAGGCAGATCATCAGCTCCGACACTGGGTCCTAGGTTTAACTTCTCCCCTGGGTCCTAGGTTTAACTTCTTCCCTGAGTTCTAGGTTTAACTTCTCCCCTGGGTCCTAGGTTTAATTTCTTCCCTGGGTCCTAGGTTTAACTTCTCCCCTGGGTCATAGGTTTAGGGTTAGGGCAATGAGTATTACTATTACGACATTGCCACCAAATTCTGTCAAAATATTCCAACCGCGACACTAACAGTTAAAGGGTTATGCGTGCAACTGAAACAGGACAACTTTACGAAGGCTGGACTAGTCACATGATTTGCTACCCGCTCCTGGTGTATTCGCAGGAAAGAAATCCTAATTGTACACACTGTTGAGGCTCTGTTAGGGTATTTTCTTAGCCTTGGTAATTTAGGACCATTTTTAGGAGGAGAGCTGATTTTGTAATAAAGGCTTTTTCTTATAAAAATAAAAACAGAAAGTGTAAAATTTAATAATAATATCGCATATTGCCGCAAAACTCTTGGCGTCACCATTTCTAAATGGTTTAGAAATACAATTTAAATGTTAAAAAAACAAAATGCACACCTCCCCGTGTGTGTTCTAGGGCCCTATTATAGGGAAGTCAGAGTGCATCTGCCTGAGAGGCAAGGAACGAGCAGTCTGCATACAGATGAGTTACATCTGTAAAATGGATACACACGCAACACTCAGGTTCTGGAGCAGTACTGCGGTCCAGAAGTGGATGAGCAGCCAGAGCTTTCCACTGAGGTTTACAGCTGGTGAACAAGAAGAAGAGGAAGAAAATGCACACCAACTGCTGTCTCTTTTTGACGAATTAGTGTCTTTCCTCCTGGGCCTAGGATGGTACATAAGTCTTAGCTCTGCCTGTCTGGCAGTTTGTTGTCACTTGTTGTAGGTCTTAGATGTTTTTTAGGCCCGTTGCTGACCCTTCTCGGATGATGGTTCTACACAAGGTCTCTCTTGTCTTCCCCGTATTCTTTTCCCTTCTGGTGTCTATATGAGGACTTGATGGAGAAGTCTTGTTCTATCCTGAGTGCATGGCCGATGTAGTTCCAGCGGCGTTTTCTTATACAATTTGATACATGATCTTGCTTGGTCTCTTGTCTTATATGTGTATTGGATCTGAAATCTGTCCAGTTGAGATATAGTATTCTTCTAAATCTGTTCTCAAAATTGTCTTTTTTTTTTTTTTTTTAAATTCTAGAGCTACCGTTGCCTTCCAACTATAAGTTGCACTTGAATCATGCAAGAGTTTAAGATCTTAACTCTTTGAGTCCCAAGGAATGCATCATACGTTTATTGGTTCATACCTAGAAGCCCAATGAACGCATGATGCGCCGATTTTATTACTTTCTTTACTACCCCCTTGGCCTGTGATGCTAAACCCCCTTTGATGAATGTAACTGGAATTGGTAAAATGAAGGGTAATCATTTCAAAAAGCCTCCAACATACACAGAGCAGAAATAGTAATTCTGACCTGCAGTCACCAGATTTGAGGATAAACTCTATTGAGATGTCAACAGCCTCAAGTCGACTGTTGCTTCCTTAAATTTATTCATGTTGATGTCTGAAGGTGATCAAATAAGAATAGAAAGAAGAATACAGGCTCTGATTCTGTTTTAGCTGGTTGTTGAATTTTCTGGAATACTGAGTTTTAATTGATAAGTCCAGAGCAAACTAATTGATTGAACCTTGGCAAGTTATTAGCTTATGGCCACAGTTAGTTTTTGCATTATTTCCATGTGTAGACTGAAAGCACAGAGTTTCGTTGTCCAGCTATGAATTAACTGTGTGGTGCAACACATTTGAGCTGTGGATTATATTTTGAAGGCTTTTCGTTTATACTAAGGTGAATTGTTTTGGGAACTGCAGATGCAGGTAAGGGCCCTATTGCCACAGAACCTTATGGTGCCATCTGTGAAATTGCCTGTGCAGCTGCTGATTTATTGTGACTGCCACTTCCATTGACGACGAACTGCAATTTTAATGGCAGACTATAGTAGCACTGTTGTTATGGCTGCCTTATGCATTAAAATTGTGTGTATGCTATTGGCACGGCCAAGATTACAGACTGATTCAGTTTTGCCCCCATAGAAAAGGAGCAGTTGTTGGGTAACCCCTCTGCTGTGAAGCTGTAACTATAATTAACTGATTGAGAGGTGACTGATTTCACTGTCAAGTCCAGTGCATTGGTGTTCAAGTCATATCAGCCCTACTTTCGGTGAATATAATTTGTGTGTAAAGTAAGTGGCAGAATTTATTTCCTGTTAAATTCCTCTCAAGTCTCTCACTTTCAGCTAATATAATTCGTGTGTAAAGTAAGTGGCAGAATTTATTTCCTATTAGGTTCTTCCCAAGTCTGTTTATAGAGACAGAGCAGCAATGTCAAACAAGCGGCCAGCTGAGGAGTCTGCCAGCTCTGCAGCTGGGGCCCCGGCAGCCAAGAAAATAGCTGTTCCATATGACAGTTTACAGTTGGGAAAAATCTATTCTCTGGTAAGTACCATTGTTGAATCTTCATTCTTGTTTGTTTTACTTTCTGTTTATCTTTGTTTCAAGATAATATTTTTCTCTAGTGAATTTAAATAATGTGGATAGAAGCAGAATGCATTGCACAGTTTATTGCCTGGTAAATTTTGCTAAATCTCGTCAGGTGCATTACTACAGAGTCACAGATTTACATTTGTCTATATCATTTTTTAAATTTGGATAAATCATTTTTTGTACTTCATTAAATGCTAGTGTAACTATGTAGTAATGCACCTGCCAAGATACAGGTTAATAATCTTTGCTTCTTTCTGATCTGTTCCCGTCCCCTTCTCCACTTTAAAATTGATTTTTTTTTTAAATTAAAAAAATTGTTTTCTGAATTAATTTTAAGCATCAAGTTCTCTTTTAATGCTATTTAATGTTTCAAACATTATTTTATTCTTCTTCTTTGCGTTCAGCAACTGCAAATTCCGGCAGAAAGTTCTTGTTCGTCCATTTCTGGACTGCAGTCCTGTCCCAGAACCTGAGTGTTGCGTGTGCATCCGTTTGACAGATCTGACTAATTTGTATGCAGGCTGTTGGTTTCTTGCCTCTCAGGCAGATGCACTCCGACTTCCAAGGAAGCTCCCAATTAGTTGACTCTTACGACATGCTTTTGGGTAGGCAGTGGGTCTGTTCTTGTTTTTCACTATAATGGGGCGCCGGAACCCACCCGGAGAATTATTTTATCCAGAATATATCTGCATTACATGTGTATTTACATGTGTATTAAAAAGTGACTTATGAATGTAAAGGTTTACTATTGGCAAATACTCTACTGGGAATGTGTAATTTGTTCACCTATTCTAGATGATGCTAGTCAGCATCTGTGGCTTAGCTGCTGCAAAAAATGTTTCATAATTTCGGGACGATGGGTTTGATCCCAGCTGCAGGGGGGTTGGCAGCAGACCGCCTTAGTTGGTTTCGACACTGGTATCGAGAACCGACTGTTGAGAAAGCATTATCAAACTGCTGAACATCAGATAGCCTAGTGAAATCACAAACAGCCTAAAAATGCTGGGTTTGGTTCTTCAGTGTGCTGTAAAGTATACGCAGCAAACATTAAATTATACTATGAAATGGTGGAATGCACAGTTTCCTTCGCTTTTTACTTTACTTTGTTGAACCTTCCTTGTGTAGAGGTTTGCCAGAGATATCATCAGACTTCTTTGTCAACAGTTTTCTTTTTTTTTTTTTTGGCTTTGTTCCATTACACTTCTCTGTCAGGGGCTGTTGAATGTTGTCTTCCTAGTGAACCCTGGGTCATCCTGGAGGTCAGGTTCCCTGGTTCTTGACCTTCCTTGCCTGCCATGGTGGCCGATTCTCTCCTTTTCTGCATACATACCTAAACCATCATAATTGTGACTGATCCACCTGAGTTTGTAAGACCGATCATGGTGTATTATCTGGTTGCAATATTTGTCCCTTTTATCTCCTTTCTCAGATGTCTTACTTTTGAGCCCTGAAGCTGGCTTCTGCGAACTGTTGTCATTGCCCATGACTTAAACCCGTAGGTCAGGACTGGCACATAGGTAGAGTGGTATACAGCTATTTTCATCCTTTTTGCCTTTCTTTCCTAGAGCCATTTTCAGCTTTCACAGTACAAAGTTCAGAGGTCCCTTAGATGTTTGTGTTCTGCCTTTCCAAATAGAGCCTTGACCCTCAAGTAGTTCACATCAGTCCCTTTATAGATTTATTCATGCTTGGTTAGATTTTGCAGCTAAAGTTTTGTTATGGCTCTATGTAGCCACTTTCACCAAACCTCCTTAATGACATTCTTTGACATGCATAATGTAGGTTCTGGGGCCCCGTGGGGGGGGGGGGGGGGGGTGGGTGGGGGTGCATAAACCCACTGCAGCCAGTAGTCATGTGAACAAGAAATCAAGATTTAGGATTCAGAATTATTTTGCTCATGTGGACAGGCAACCATGAATTCTAAACATGTTCTTCTAACATATTCTGTACATGCAGTATGGCATGTATCCCATGTCTGATCAGTGAACATTTCAGTGGAAACAACTGGATGGATCACTGAAGGAAATGTAACACACAACATCATTTTTTAATAGGCCAGTATTTATTTCCAGTGGCCACATGTCAGATATTCTATTGGCATGACCGAGATGTGATTTCTGTTAGACATATATCAGTTAACAATGTTTGCTTGCCATTTCTTTGGGATATTATGAATTTGACTGGTTCTACTTTTCTTTTCATTTGATATATTTTTAAGGCCTGTGGCTTTCTAATATAAAAACCACTGGCAGAGAGAAGGGAATGAAGATAATGAAGATGGGGATATTATATATCATCATCATCATAAACCTCTTCTGCCGTTAAGCATCGTGGGGAGGAATAATTTACGATCCAGTGCACGTTGGCTGCCACTGGCTATTGTCATACCATGAAGGTGTAGAGTGTCTTTAATGTTGTTGATCCATGTTTTCCGCGGCCGTCCTCTTGTTCTTGTAGCTGATCTTCTGAGATGTATTGCTTGTGATGGTATTTGATCTTGCTGCATTCTTACGAGATGGCCAAACCACTTGATCTGCCATTTCTCGATGAATCTAGTATAAGGTGTCGTTCTCACAATTTGCCTGATAGTTACATTATTCACTCGATCTTGGATAGTTAAGGTTGGCTGCTTTTCTGTCACCTAATATCACAAATGGTGATTTTGTGAAAATGGGCTTTAGATAGTGTCCATGTTTGTCACTAGTAGCCTAATGTTGGAATTAAATATAAATAAATTAAAACGTGTATTTAAGAGAATGCCTTTAGATAGTTTTAATTTATTTTTGTAAACATCCTACAGGAAGAACTCGATCTAAAGGTGCTGGTGTTTCAAAACAGAAAACTAGCAGAACGTATCGAACAGCGAAAGAAAGCTGAAACTGAACTCAAGAAGCGTATAGAACAGCTAGAGAACAGACAACGCACTGACGATGCAGTGTTGATGATTGTGAACAGATACTGGAATCAGGTTTGAAACTGAGATCTTATCTTTAAAATTGAGTTGTCTTCTTCTTCTTCTTCTGCTCTTTTTTCACCAATGGAGCATAGTCTGTCAACAGATTCACGCCAAGTCATCTTTTGTTTCCATATGCAGCTCACCCATCTCATCTCTGTCTTATTTTCACTTCACTCTCTAATTCCCTTCTCCATGTTGTTGATTTGATGGATTTTTTTTTGTGTTTTTTTGGGTAACCATGTTCAGCTCTGTTGAAGACAGCTTTCTTGATAATTATTCATTTATATTTTCTTAGTAATTCCATACTTTGCAATTCAATGGAGTTTGTCACATTTCAATAGAGAAACCAAATCTGTCCATCTCACTGATAATGCTAACTTGCTTAAATTTGGGGTACAGCTTATATTATTAGCATCTGAAAAAATATCACACTGGGGCTTTTTTCAGTTTAGGTCTTATGGAGAGGGGAGAATGGTGTAACAGCCTACTGCATGGGCAATGCTATCTGATGTCCAGATGAAATGCTGCACTATTTTTTATTTCTTTTCAAAGAGCTAGCTGGTTTTTAACCAGAATACAATGCACTATCTCCTTTAGAGTTTCCCCATAGGGAGAAGTTCATAAGAGTAATATTTTCAAAGAACACCTTATTGCTATCATAATTTGATTTAGTAAACTGTCTAGATGTCTTTGAAAAGTGTATGTTCTTTTATTGATGGACCTTATGTGAATATGTAGGATAGAGTTGAGTTTGAGTCAATAATTGACATCACAGCACTCGGGGCATTCCTATGCGTGCGCCGTCCTCATCTTCAGCAACCCAGCGCAGAGTTCCAATACTGATGGTACCAGTCACAATCTAGTTATATGTCCGTCTTGCCTTTCCTCTGAGTGTAGTGAGCCGGCCAGACCCTCTGGTTACACCCAGATGCCTCATTCTCTTCAGGCCATAATAATCTTTTACTTCTACTGATTCTGTTGCTTGTTCCCAAAGGCCTTGACCTTGTGCGATAGAGACAAGAGGTCAGTCAGTCGGTTTGAATTTGCCATGTTCAGCATCTTCTAGAGAGCTAGCCTCATCCTACCTAGATAGTCTAGTTATAATTATGGCTCCAGATAGTAATGCTGTTTTCATTGTGCATTTCTTGGTGGGTCTATCTCCCATGTCTCTCCAGCCAGAGGCGAGGAAGGTAATATTTTTATATAGGAGAAGTATTGTTATTTTAGCATAAGCATGTATTCCATGGAGGTTATACAACTGTTTTCTTCTGACTTTTTAGCTTGATGAAGATGTTCGAGTTTTGCTTCAAAGATTTGATGCAGAGACCTCTGATGAGACAGAAACAAAAAGTAAGGAGCCGTTTTTTTTAAAAATTATTAATATTCAATACTCAAATTGTTGATTTGCTACTGAAGATATTCTTAAAGCTAAGTCCTTAAAAAAAATTTGTATGAAAGATTAACACGGTTTAAAGTTTTAATTGATCCATGAGATGCCTGAGAAAAGCCGCCTACTTAACCATCCGAGACAAGGTTAAAAATGATATTATCAGACAGACTGTAGGTACAACACTATGCGGCAAGTTAATTGAGAAGCAGAAGATCAGATGGTTTGGTCATTTAGTAAAAATGCAGCCAGAACAACTACCAGTGCTGTCTCTACACATGAAAAGATCTGAAGTGAAAGCAAGAGGCCGCCCTAGGAGAACGTGGATTAATGACATTAAAGAGCTTCTACATCTACATGGAATAACAGTAGCAATTGCTGCCTATCAAGCAATGGATTGCAGACTGTTCCTCCCCACAGCACTTAAGCAGAAGTGGATATTGATGAGGATTAATCCATGGAGAACTAGACACTGAACAAGTTATCAGGAAATGATATTGTCTCTGGAATTGTGAATATTCAGAAGAATGGGCCATAGTTCATGGAAACAAAAACAAATTTTTTTTTTTTTAAATAATAAAAAAAAAATACTGTGAGTGACAAAAAAGTTGCAGAAGGAAATAAAAAAGAAGAGACTTGTGAAATAATCGGCCATATTAAATGACATAACACTCTTTTAAAAACTGTACTGGAGGAAACAATGAAAGGCAAGCAAGCAAGAACCAGACAGTGATACAAGTGTGAGAATAGCATCAAGAGATTGATGAACCTGTATGTTACTGGGACTTATCAGCAAAACAGAAAAATAATTCATTGGTTGTCGAAGTAAAGTAAAAGAACCTTTTATCACTTTTGTTTTCAAGATGGCGATGATCAGCTATGTTATTTTTTGGTAGCTGTGATTTTTTTGATTTACCTTTGTCATGGACTGCTATTTTGTGTGAGTTTAATTATTTAAAACACATTGCGTTTTCGCGAGGGTGGTGTGTGTTGTGGTTGTGCTGTGTTGAAGCAGAATGATGACCGTAGTTTTCGCAGCCTTGAGGACGCTGTTCTTGCATTTAAAAAAAATCATGGCAGTCCACTATCCATGAAGACAGAATTTCATCAGTGCGGGGCCACAGACTGTCAAGAGCAGTGATTCCCAAACTGTGTGCTGCTGCGCCCGGGGAGCCACAACCTCTTCACAGGGGCGCTGTGAAATATTGTAAAAGCTTCATAATTAATTAACCAAGACACAAATAGTTTTACTTTAACTTAGGTTAGGGCGCTGTGGAAAACATTTTAGTTGCAAAAAAGGCGCAGCGACCAAGAAAGGTTTGGGAAACACTGGTCTAGAGAGCAAACTATAAAATGTGTCACCAGAAACAGAATGTGGCAACCATTTTTTGTTTTGGTGGGGAACACTTGACACAGAGGGTTAACTCAGTGGCTGGGCCACATCTTTTGAGCATCAGGTGTATATATATATATATATATATATATATATATATATATATATATATATATATATATATATATATATATATATATATATATATATATATATATATATATATATATATATATATATACATATAGTCAACAACGCTATCTTTCTTTACTCCCAAGACATAACTTTGTACCCATTTTCTCCTGGGTCGAATTTGCACACACAGGCATCTGCCACCATATAGGTTTGAACTCTAAACCTTTGAGCCACTGGGCTAGCCACTACACTACTGTAGATCTCTTTTAATTCAGAGCCTGCCAGTTACTATTGTCAGAAATGTGAATTTTCACTCCAGAACCAAGTAAATCATAAAATTATTTTATTTTTTCAACTTTCTTTTTTGAGGCCATTATTTTTTTAAACTGAAAGAAAATTGATTGATCAGATTTAGTTGCAAATCTTAAATGTATTTTCTACTGCTGTGCCACAAATAGTTTTCTAATTTTTTTTTTTTTTTTAACAGTGTTTATATATATACATCTTAAAAGCATAATTACAGGTTATGATGATGTTGAAGTATATAGTAGGCAAGGTTTTTATTTGTTTATTTTTGACTTCACTGTACTGTTAAGCATTATTACAATTTAATGATGGTTTTTCTGAATCTGTTTAGATGAAAGCAGTGAACTGACCTCTTTTTTAACACTGTTGTCAACCTGGGACAAACAGGAGCTAGAGGAGAAACTAGGTCAGCGCGTGGAGTTTTCAAAACGAGCTATTGGCAAGTTGTTACAGGCTTTTGACAGAATGTTACAGAGAAATGAAAAGCTGCATCACGCCATAGAGGATAAGGTAAGGAAATACTGTTTTAACCTTACCATGTTAAACTATAGATCATCATCATCATCATGTAGCAGGTCCTTTGCAGAACGTCGCTCTCATCACAGTCTGCCTGAAAGAAACTCCGTCTCTCACCAGTTCTCCCGCCTCATGCATTTTCACATTCAAGGAGTCACCTATATCCTGTGCCCATCTTCTTGTCAGTCGCCCCTGCCTCTCCTTCCTGGTACCATGCCTTCTGCTATTATTTTTTTTCCAATCTGTCGTGGCGCTTGATATGACCAAAATATTTCAGCTTTTAAGAAAGGATGCTGTTTATTAGCCAATCTTTCCTGATGTTCAGATCTTTTAAGATGTCAATATTTCTCATCTTCTTTGTCCAAGATATTCTAAGAATCTTTCTATAACATTTCAGCTCAAAAACCCCTATTCTCTTTCTCAAGGACTATAGATCACTGGCTGTAAACTACGAGGGAAAAATTCTGGTTGTTTGTTCACTTCTCGATTTTGGTCTTGTTCCAGAACTTGAGTTTTGCATGCACACATATGTTTTACAGATCTGACTTATTTGTGTGCAGACTGTTGGTTCTTCACCTCTCAGCAGATGCTCTCCAACTTCAAGGGATATGCTTCCAATTAGTCTGTTTTTATTGCTTTGTGTGTTAAGGGAAGAAGGTGGGGAGCAGTGGGTCTTCCCCCCTTCCCCCATAATGGGGACCTGAAACCCACATGGGGAGATTGGAATCTCTTAAAAATATGGGAAAGTACCATATTGTTTTGAATTGTTTATGATTTTGAGTTGTTTATGCTGTTTAGTTGTTTATGCTTTGGAGTTGTTTATGCTTTAGAGTTGTTTATGCTTTGGAGTTGTTTGTGCTGTGGAGTTGTTTATGCTTTAGAGTTGTTTATGCTTTAGAGTTGTTTATGCTTTGGAGTTGTTTATGCTGTGAAGTTGTTTATGCTTTAGAGTTGTTTATCCTTTGGAGTTGCGGTAGCAGAGTGGCTAGACACTCACCTGCCCGCCCGAAGGTCATGGATTCGAATCTACATCAAGTTTGATTTTTCTCTCTAAAAAATTGACCCTAACTTCCAGGTCTACCCAGCCTTAAAAGGGTACCAGGTAATGTCCTGGGAAGTAAAGGTTGCTGGCAAGATGTTGATTATATTACTCACCAAATGCGGCTTGGTCTATAAAAATATGTCTTGTGTCATATGTCGATGGGCCGCTGGCATGAAAAGGATCCTTAACTTAGCATATGCTCAGGACTTTGAGGCATGGATTTGGTTTGCTTACATTACCTTACTATAAGTCTAGTAATTATATTTGAAACTAGCAAAGCGATTTTGTTTCGTTTCTGTTATTCAGCTATATTGGTTTTGTGTTTTTTAATTCTTATTTAATAATTACGTCAGGTCTTTTTCAGTTGGTGATACAACTAATTTTTATTCAAAGAATTATTGTTGTGGGTGGATTTAAATTTGGATATTTCACAAAAGTAAATGATCATTTCTTGTTTGTTAAAGGTAGAGCAAGAACAAGAAGCTCTGCTTGAAGATGCATCAAAAACAGAAGATGAAAAAGAAGAAAAGGAGGAAAAGAAAGAAGGTTTGTTCTGGGAATATATATTTTGCATATTATCTGTGCATATTCCTGTTTGGGCTCCAGCACCCAGTTTCAGTGGGGCAGGAACTGACCTTCTTTCAGTGGGACAGAAACTGACCTACTTTCAGTGGGATAGGAACTGACCTACTTTCAGTGGGACAGGAACTGACTTACTTTCAGTGGGACAGGAACTGACCTACTTTCAGTGGGACAGGAACTGACCTACTTTCAGTGGGACAGGAACTGACCTACTTTCAGTGGGACAGGAACTGACCTACTTTCAGTGGGACAGGAACTGACCTACTTTCAGTGGGACAGGAACTGACCTACTTTCAGTGGGACAGGAACTGGCCTACTTTCAGTGGGAATGGAACAGACTCACTGCCCCCAGTGAACATGTCATAAAGGTGACTAATTAGGGACTTTTCCTCCGAAGTCAGATTGCACTTGGCTAAAAGGTGAGGAACCAACAGTTTGCATACTAGTAAAACAGATGTGCATGCAAATGCAAGTACTGGGATGAGACTGAAAGTGGGCGAACAATGGGAACTTTCCGCCAGAATTACAGGTGGATGGCCTTGAATACATTGGTCGTTATCAGTCAGTCTAAGGTGCCATCACCACAGTGAATGATTTCTGCAATGGATCTCCATTCTCTGTCTCCTGTCTGCGCAGTACAAGGACATAGTTGTAACCGAAAATAAAAACAAGGGTCTTAGTTTGGACAGCAGAAAAACAGAGGTAATGATAATAAAACAGAAAACTGACCCTCCTAAATGTAACATCAAAGTAAATGGGACAAATCTCAAACAAGTTTGATTTGTTTAAAGTACTCGGGTACACTGATAACATCAGACGGAAAATGTATTCAAGAAAATCAAAGCAGTGATTTCCCATTGTGAATTTGAACAAAGAAGACAATAGACTGCACAATATATTGCCTGGTATATTCAGTGGTTACTGTAGCATGCACCTGATGAGATACAGGGAAATATGTCAGGCAGTAAATTGTGCAATATTGTTTGTGTCTTCCTTGTATTAAAGAAGTTATATGTAAGTGTAGGTCAAGCAGCATTTTACAAAATGAATAATATTTACGCAAAATTTCTTTGTCAGTTGAGATGAGCAAGAGAGTTCTTAAAACTAGGTAAACCCTATCCTGCTATATCAGGATCCTGGATTCATAGATAGAATCATGGACAGTTGGTAGATTAGTGAAAACTTATTTGGAAGCTACGGAGGTGTGGTTTTATAGACGAATGATGACAGTGCCCTGGACAGATCAAAAGAGTAATGAAGACCTCTTGAAAGAAACTCTCATGAAGAGAACTGATTTCCCACATCAGAAAAAGACAATCTACATTCTTTAATCATGTGATGAGAAGGAGAAAACAAGTACATTGTGATATTAGGAGAGTTGCAGGGGAAGCAAGGCAGGGGGAAACCGAGAAAAGTTGCTGGACAGTTTGACATCATGGCATGAAGGATCATCTGTATCGTAGTTGATTGAAAGTTAACGAGACAGAAGGTTGTGGATAGACTTGACTACCAAAGCCACACGGCGTGGGCTGTAAGAAGAAGAAGTGGGTTAAGGGCCCTAGTGTGGGGGGAAACAAGAACAGACCCACTGCCTTCCCAACAAGCATGTCGTCAGTGTCGACTAATTGTGGGCTTCCTTCAAAACAGTCTGCATACAGATAAGCCATACCTGTAAAACAGATATGCATGCAACACTCAGGTTCTGGAAAGACTTAAGTCCAGAGATGGATGAACAACCAGAACTATTTGCTGGAGTTTACAGCTGGTGAAATCAAATAAGATTAATTTTACAAAAGATAACTATCAAGAGAAAGTCGGTTAAATTATTAACCCTGCTTAGTAACAAACACTAACAACTTGGTTAATGTTACAGGTGAAGAAGATCAAGAGAAAGCAATCAAAACTGAGGAAGAGACTACTGAAAAAGCTGATGAAGAGAAGGAGGAAAAATCCCCAGAGCCAAGTTTATATGAAGTTGTGAAAGGAGAGTTGTCAGATCTGAGGCAAGAAACCAAACAGAAACACAACCTGGTCACACAGCTTCATCAGCGACATCATGAACATACACTGCATGTGAGTAAGATGAAACTTTGGATGATATAGTTGATTGTGGGGAGGGGGGAGGAGCATAGAGGTTAGGAGACTTACCTGCTAAAATAGTAGTCTGTGTGTAATTGCCATCTTTTCCGTGGGGGAGGGGCATAGAGGTTAGGAGACTTACCTGCTAAAATAGTAGTCTGTGTGTAATTGCCATCTTTTCCGCCATGGCAACTCCCAATGTATTGTTTGTGTCTGCATTATTTGTAATTATTGTTGATCAATATCGTGGTGTATGGATTAGTTATGTCATGTACGTAATGTTATCTGGTATGGGGAGTAGTTAGGTCATGTACGTAATGTTATCTGGTATGGGGATTAGTTATGTCATGTACGTAATGTTATCTGGTATGGGGATTAGTTATGTCATGTACATAATGTTATCACTGCAGATTGGACATTTCTATGTGCTGTCACTCCTCCGATGTAGCAGCTACTGCACAGTACCTCATCTGATTATTCCCATGAGAAGTTGTTTATAGTTTCTCCTGTCTTGGCCTCGGAGACAGTATAGGTGTACTTCACCAAGCTTCACTCTCAGGTCCTGCAACTTTGTTAGAGATTCATCACTTTCTGCCTGCCTATTCCTTGCTGCATTGATGATATCATCTCTGTCCATGCTTCTTCCTGTACATATTGGTGCATTATTAGCCAGCTGGTCTACTCTTTCACTACCTTTTACTCCTGCAGGTGTGTAAATCCAGGTGGTGGAGGTTCTGGCTTGAATGCTTTTTACTCATTCCTAACATAGACTACCTGTTGCGATTTTGTAAAGTCTTTATAGGGAGTCTGATACAATTTTCTCTGTAGACTGATACAATTTTCTCTGTAAACATGCTTGACATAGTTGTCTGGTAAGCACCACTATCTTCTTTTAGTTTTTCTGTACACTTTGTGCTGTCTGTGCCCATGCTGACCTTGACCCATCCTTCACAGACCCATCTTTATTGATACTGATGTCTTCTGGGCTCTAGCTTTGTAGTCTTTCTAGTTTATGATGTGTGTAGTATTTCCTGATATCAGCTTGACTGTAGTTACTCTGATTTATGTCATAATAAGGCATAATAACTAGTGCAGTAAAGTCAGTCCTCTCACATTTAAACATATTTATATCATCACCTAGTTTTGTCTAACTATTATTTATTAATTACTCTTGTCTGTTATTAGATATCTGAACTACAAGACAAGCTTACAGCATCAGAAACTGAAATTGCTGAACTGAAAAACAAGCTTGATGATCTTGAGTATGTCTATGAGAAGGCAGAGTACAAGAATGACAGTTTGGAGCGTAGGCTGGCCGAGGTCTCAGAGAGGCTTCAGTTCTATCAGGAGACAACAGGAAACATGCCAATATCGGGCCTGAAGAATTTGTCCGGTCTGCCTACTGGAAGGGTATGTTTATTGTTTTTTTCAGTATTGTGTTTTTCACTTTGTATAAATCTCATCTCTACCATTAAGATTTTCTTTCATTAGTTGCAGTAATGGTCAAGTTTTTAAAGATGTCTGCCATTATGATTTTCTGTTCATTAGTTGCAGTAATGGTCCAGCTTTCTAAAGATATCTCATCCCTGCCATAATGATTTTCTCTGATTAGTTGCAGTAATGGTCCAGCTTTCTAAAGATATCTCATCTCTGCCATAATGATTTTCTCTGATTAGTTGCAGTAATGGTCCAGCTTTCTAAAGATATCTCATCTCTGCCATAATGATTTTCTTTGATTAGTTGCAGTAATGGTCCAGCTTTCTAAAGATATCTCATCTCTGCCATTATGATTTTCTCTGATTAGTGCAGTAATGGTCCAGCTTTCTAAAGATATCTCATCTCTGCCATAGTGATTTTCTTTGATTAGTTGCAGTAATGGTCCAGCTTTCTAAAGATATCTCATCTCTGCCATAATGATTTTCTCTGATTAGTTGCAGTAATGGTCCAGCTTTTTAAAGATATCTTATCCCTGCCATTATGATTTTCTCTGATTAGTTGCAGTAATGGTCCAGCTTTCTAAAGATATCTCTGCCATAATGATTTTCTCTGATCAGTTGCAGTAATGGTCCAGCTTTCTAAAGATATCTGCCATAATGATTTTCTCTGATTAGTTGCAGTAAAGGTCCAGCTTTCTAAAGATATCTCATCTCTGCCATTATGATTTTCTCTAATTAGTGCAGTAATTTTACAGCTTTCTAAAGATATCTCATCTCTGCCATTATGATTTTCTCTAATTAGTGCAGTAATGGTCCAGCTTTCTAAAGATATCTCATCTCTGCCATAATGATTTTCTTTGATTAGTTGCAGTAATGGTCCAGCTTTCTAAAGATATCTCATCTCTGCCATTATGATTTTCTCTGATTAGTTGCAGTAATGGTCCAGCTTTCTAAAGATATCTCATCCCTGCCATTATGGTTTTCTCTGATTAGTTGCAGTAATGGTCCAGCTTTCTAAAGATATCTCTGCCATAATGATTTTCTCTGATCAGTTGCAGTAATGGTCCAGCTTTCTAAAGATATCTGCCATAATGATTTTCTCTGATTAGTTGCAGTAAAGGTCCAGCTTTCTAAAGATATCTCTGCCATAATGATTTTCTCTGATTAGTTGCAGTAATGGTCCAGCTTTCTAAAGATATCTCATCTCTGCCATTATGATTTTCTCTAATTAGTGCAGTAATGGTCCAGCTTTCTAAAGATATCTCATCTCTGCCATAATGATTTTCTTTGATTAGTTGCAGTAATGGTCCAGCTTTCTAAAGATATCTCATCTCTGCCATTATGATTTTCTCTGATTAGTTGCAGTAATGGTCCAGCTTTCTAAAGATATCTCATCCCTGCCATTATGGTTTTCTCCGATTAGTTGCAGTAATTGTACAGCTTTCTAAAGATATCTCATCTCTACCATAATGATTTTCTCTGATTAGTTGCAGTAATGGTCCAGCTTTTTAAAGATATCTCATCTCTGCCATAATGATTTTCTCTGATTAGTTGCAGTAATGGTCCAGCTTTCTAAAGATATCTCATCTCTGCCATAATGATTTTCTCTGATTAGTTGCAGTAATGGTCCAGCTTTCTAAAGATATCTCATCTCTGCCATAATGATTTTCTCTGATTAGTTGCAGTAATGGTCCAGCTTTCTAAAGATATCTCATCTCTGCCATAATGATTTTCTCTGATTAGTTGCAGTAATTGTCCAGCTTTCTAAAGATATCTCATCTCTGCCATAATGATTTTCTCTGATTAGTTGCAGTAATGGTCCAGCTTTCTAAAGATATCTCATCTCTGCCATTATGATTTTCTCTGATTAGTGCAGTAATGGTCCAGCTTTCTAAAGATATCTCATCTCTGCCATAATGATTTTCTTTGATTAGTTGCAGTAATGGTCCAGCTTTCTAAAGATATCTCATCTCTGCCATTATGATTTTCTCTGATTAGTGCAGTAATGGTCCAGCTTTCTAAAGATATCTCATCTCTGCCATAATGATTTTCTTTGATTAATTGCAGTGATGGTCCAGCTTTCTAAAGATATCTCATCCCTGCCATTATGGTTTTCTCCAATTAGTTGCAGTAATTGTACAGCTTTCTAAAGATATCTCATCCCTGCCATTATGGTTTTCTCCAATTAGTTGCAGTAATTGTACAGCTTTCTAAAGATATCTCATCTCTGCCATAATGATTTTCTCTGATTAGTTGCAGTAATGGTCCAGCTTTTTAAAGATATCTCATCTCTGCCATAATGATTTTCTCTGATTAGTTGCAGTAATGGTCCAGCTTTCTAAAGATATCTCATCTCTGCCATTATGATTTTCTCTGATTAGTGCAGTAATGGTCCAGCTTTCTAAAGATATCTCATCTCTGCCATAATGATTTTCTTTGATTAGTTGCAGTAATGGTCCAGCTTTCTAAAGATATCTCATCCCTGCCATTATGGTTTTCTCTGATTAGTTGCAGTAATTTTACAGCTTTCTAAAGATATCTCATCTCAGCCATAATGATTTTCTCTGATTAGTTGCAGTAATGGTCCAGCTTTTTAAAGATATCTCATCCCTGCCATTATGATTTTCTCTGATTAGTTGCAGTAATGGTCCAGCTTTCTAAAGATATCTCTGCCATAATGATTTTCTCTGATTAGTTGCAGTAATGGTCCAGCTTTCTAAAGATATCTCTGCCATTATGATTTTCTCTGATTAGTTGCAGTAATGGTCCAGCTTTCTAAAGATATCTCATCTCTGCCATAATGATTTTCTCTGATTAGTTGCAGTAATGGTCCAGCTTTCTAAAGATATCTCATCTCTGCCATAATGATTTTCTCTGATTAGTTGCAGTAATGGTCCAGCTTTCTAAAGATATCTCATCTCTGCCATAATGATTTTCTCTGATTAGTTGCAGTAATGGTCCAGCTTTTTAAAGATATCTCATCTCTGCCATAATGATTTTCTCTGATTAGTTGCAGTAATGGTCCAGCTTTCTAAAGATATCTCATCTCTGCCATAATGATTTTCTCTGATTAGTTGCAGTAATGGTCCAGCTTTTTAAAGATATCTCATCCCTGCCATTATGATTTTCTCTGATTAGTTGCAGTAATGGTCCAGCTTTTTAAAGATATCTCACCCCTGCCATTATGATTTTCTCTGATTAGTTGCAGTAATGGTCCAGCTTTCTAAAGATATCTCATCTCTGCCATAATGATTTTCTTTGATTAGTTGCAGTAATGGTCCAGCTTTTTATAGATTTTCTCATCCCTGCCATTATGATTTTCTGCTCCTTAGTTGTTGTATTGGTCAAGCTTTTTAAAGATATCTCATCTCTGCCATAATAATTTTCTGCTCATTGGTTGTTGTAACTGTCCGTATTTAGCACGTAGCATAAAGGACCCCTTTTCCACACCTTCAGGTGTATTGGGCATATAGGGTTAGACCTGTATTTTGTAGACCAGTCAGCACTGCATGAGTAATTGGGTCAGCATCAAGCCAGCAGCCATTACTTTCCAGTACTGTGTGTCAAGGTCATTTTTGAAAAAAATAAAATCCATCACGACCCAAACCCACGACTTTCTAATCCACAGTTGAGCGTCTAGCCACCACATCACAGCAGCTCTCACTGGTAGCATAGAGTTGACCAAAATATAGTTCTTTTTAGATTCCAGTAATAGATTAGTTTCTATTTTTAAAAAGTATGGGATTTTTTTTTTTTTTTTGCAAAATTATTTTTCTGTTGATCTTTTCTGTCACTTATCTCTTGAAATGTTTCAGCTGGATGAGATACTGTCTGAACTGGAAGAACACAAAGAGCTGTCCACCAACAGACTGATGGAGCTGGAGAAGTTAAATGCTGATTACCAGGAGACTCTTACGCAGGTGGAGAAACTAAAAATGGATGTGAGTATTTTTTGTTTTAGTTTTTGTTTGCTCCGAAGAATATAAAAAACAGAGTTTTTCCATTGTAAATTTGTAATAATGAGGCAACAAGCAAATACACTGCACAATTTGCTGCCTGCATATTCCGCTATATCTCATCAGGTGCACTATTTCAGGATGCACAAGATAAAATTTATCTAGTTTGTGAAGAAATCTGTCATTCTTTCTATGTAATAGTTTTCTCAAACACTGAGTTATTGCGATGACAATCAGTGCTGAGAAGGTAGAAGCAGAAAGAGAGAAATGATGCTAGATCGCTTAAGATGGTGGAAAGAAGGAATGTCATCGAGAGAACTGGGAGAGCAGATTTAGACAAAAGAAAGAGGAAGTATAACTTAACTTTTTGAACGAAATCAGCTCCTGGATGAAAAGAACTGCCCTCATTTGTCTTCAGTATTTCAAGCCCTTGATGTTCAGTGCTGCAGATTGCACACTCTTCCATCAATTTCTGTGATTGGCCTTCTCTTTACAGTTGCTACTTCAAGTGTTAATTAGGTCTGCCTGTATATTGCCTCTCCACTATCTTATTGGTTTGCCTCATGGTTTGCTCCTATTCAACTCTTTTGTGCACAGTTTTTGCCTCTCTGTTATCTGCCATTCTCTCTAAATGTCCCAGACAATTCAGTCTATTAGTCCTCATTATGCCAGTTTCCTGTGTGGATTCTGGGTCCCCATTTTGGGGAAAACAAGAATAGAGCCACTGCCTACCCAAAAAGCATGTTGTAAGAGTCGACTAAATTGGAGCTTCCTTCAACGTAATTGTGCATTTTCCCGAGCGGCACGGAACAACCAACTGCACACAAAAAAGCCAATGAATTGGATATACACACAAAACTCAGGCCCTGGCACAAAGTCACAGTTAAAATGGACGAACAACCAGGACTTTCTGTCGGAACTTACTGCTGGCGGACAAAGAAAAAAAAGAAGATTATAAGTGATCAGTGATAAATTAAACATAGGAAAATGCATTGTTGCTCGTCACTCTCCATTCTTCGCTGTTCGCATCTTTGATGGTCCACATAATCTTATCCATAAATAAATATAATAAAAAAAATAAAAAGGTTTGTTGATGCTTCACTGAACTGTCATGGATAGACAGGTTGTTGACTTTTCACTTCAGAAGCTAAAAAGAAATGTCTTGATTCACCTTTCAGCTTCAGCATCTGCCAGAGAACGTCATCCTTGAAACCACAGAGTACAAATGTTTGCAGTCGCAGTTCTCAGTTCTCTACAACGAGAGTATGCAGATACGAACCCAGCTTGAGGACATTCGCAACCAGATGACCATCAGTAAATCCAACCATGGCAGACAAATCGAGCAGATGGAGGCAAGCTGATTTTTGTTATTATTTATTAATTATTTACAACAACAACAACAAAAATCTGGGGTCCTCTTCATGTTTCCCGGCCCGTCTATACACCACCTGAGCTTTCATTCATACTTTCTCAGACTCTTCTACGTCGGAGGGGTGTCACATTGTCTTCACTCCAGTTACATCAGCACCTGTGCCACGTATTCTATACTACACGACACAGCCTTTACCGACCCCAAAACATGTATAACTGGCCCTAACCCAAACCCCTCTACCCACAGCCTCAGCCTAGGTCACACAAGAGACTCTTTTCAAAGAAATCAGTACAACGTGACATCCCTCTGACCTAGATTATAATGAGACAGTGTGTAGATGGGCTGGGAAATGTGCATTTGGTCCAAGGCTGGTTTCTAATGTCTTGCATCGCTCTGATCACTTAAGTATTTGGCTTTCTCTGCTTAGGGCAGAACGGAAGTAACTATTGTGTGTCAGGTAGCAGGTCCTTTGTAGAATATCACTTTCCTTTGTAGAATATGGCTTTCATTGTGGCAAGCTAGAAAACCACTCAGGTCCCTGCCAGCTTTCCCGTCTCATGAACTCTCATGCCTGTGGTGTCCTTGTCCATCATCAGACTCTCTTCTGTGTCTTCTTCCAGAAATCATATCCTCCATTACTGTTCTCTGCAGACCATTTATCGAATGCTTTGTCAGCTGGCATAGACATTTATGCATCTCCACAGATCTTAGTCTTTGGTTTTCTGGATCAATTACACTGATGAAATTCCTCTATGCCACTGTCTTAAGCCATCCACCATCGTTTCTCTTGGTCTGCCTCTGCCACTTCTATCAGTGATCTTTCCAGTCATCCAGCAGACCGTTATGGCATTTAAAATTGTTCCCCCATGAAGAACATCAGGATTTTGACTTATTTAGGTCCATGGTATTCAGAAGCTCTGATTTTTTAGTTTGTTTTTGGGTGTTGTGGTTTTTCTAGGCAAATTTTATGTTCATTAGTTTGCCATTGCTGCCTGAACGGTCGGCTCTCGGTACCACTATCAAAACCAGTGCGAGACAAATCGTCCGCAGCTGGGATTGAACCTGGCATCTCAGCATTATGAAGCGAGTTCATAACGCCTAAGTTCCAGACACCGACTGGCAGTAATCAATACATATATTGACCAGATTAACTGACCTTTGAGTTACTGAGGGGCTTGACCATGTATCAACCCATTTATTGTGGCTTTCCATGAATTCCTGATTAACTGCAAATCAATAAACTGAAGATCAGAATAGTTTAAGAACAGAAACTATCAAGGTTAGCAAGACTTGATTTATTGTCATTAAACACTGACACACTCAGGGTGAAACATTGTGATGTTAACATGATGCCTTATATACCTACAGATTGATGAATTAGAGGGCCAGAAGAGACTGAGAACCGAAATGATTCAAGTTGAAGACAATCTGGCTCAGACCAGAAAGGAGTATGACATGCTGAGAATTGAGTTTGAACAAGCAATGGCGGCCAACGATCAAAACTGTAAGTGTGGCAAGGGATTTCTTTGTTTTAGTGAATGCACTATATGCAGTTTATAGATGATACTAGAACATAATTCTTCCTCTTTTCTGTGCAAGACAGATAATGACAGAGGTAGAAAATGCTGTTGTTCTAAGGTGGACTTTCCTACTACTGCTCAAGAGGCTAGTTAAGATTACAAGTCAGAAGACAAAACCTCACTAGAAGACAGTTACAGAGAGAATCTCAAACAGTGAAACGTCCTAAAAGATCTCGTCTGTCTCCCAGCTTAGCTGGTTGAGGGAGAGGATTTAGGCTTTGCCCTACATCTGGTTTACTACTGTTACATAAATGGTATATTTATGTATATCTAAATTATAATAGCTATGGTTCACTGACATACACTGTTGAAAATTAACTTCACAAGACTGGAAGAACATTTAACAAAAAAAAAAAAAAAAGTTTGTTTGGATCTTAGGACACACGAGTAGGTGGCGGACTGACAATGTGAACTAATATGTCCGCTTATCTGTTGTTCCTGATACTGGCTCCGCCACTTGTGAGATACACTTTTGGGCAGGTTGACTCTTCTAGGCTAGTCTAGACAATCACTCATGCATGTCAACTCCACAGGAAACTAGAGTAATTGAAGGTAAACTGAACAGTCCCTCTAGACGTTCAGATCAAAGGCAGCACTGCCTGCAGTCCTCATAAAGTTACACTACACACACACACACACACACACATATGGAGTAGGGTAGTAAGGTGTTTTGACATTCTTGTGTGGTATAGAAGGGTAATGTTTACAGAACAGTGTCTATATTCCTGATGGGGGAAATATAACATAAACATCAGTTTCAAGGATGCTTCCAAGCACATGAGTTTAACATCACACAGAAAGAAAAAATATTTATCGATGTGAATTGTTCTGATCTCTTTACAATAGTACTTCTGCAAAGGGTGAACATGTTTGAACACAGTCACATTTCAGAAGGTATTCTCATTTCAACCACATGGGTTCACATCACAAAGAATAGGAATCTGGGTGTGAAATTACACGTATAATGTGAAACTCATACCTTCTGAGCTAAACAGTTTGAAAATAATTAGTATTAGAAATATCTCAATCAGTATTACTAGATGCAGGTAGAAGATGTTTTAACTAAGTTATAGATGACAATAAGATTCCCATATGCCACATTAGTTACATTATGAATTATTCAACACCAGCTGTAGTTTAACTTTGAATGAATGCACTCGCTAAATCTTATTCACTTGAGGAAAAAAGTTGGCAGGGATGAAATATGTTGAATTTATGAGGACACGCAGAATGGTACTGAAGAAGAAGAAGAAGATTTTAATATATTGCATTACTTTTTGCTCTCTAGTTGCTATTTTTGCTTCCTGTGTCAGAAAGTTGTGATTGTCTGATAGTTATTTTTTCTTCTTCACTTCCTCCTATTTAGGTAATTGCAGCTCACACACTGTATGGATTAACAGAAAAGTTGGGAGGGGGGGGGGGGGTGTGTGCCTGTTGCCAGAGGGGAGTTAGCTGTCTGAATACTTTGTTTGCTTTACTGCATCTGTTGTTATGATATCTGAAATCCTTCAAAGTCGAACAAGGAACCAACAGTCAGCATACAAATAAGTCGGATCTGTAAAACAACAACAACATAACACTCAGGTTCTGGAACAAGACTAAAGTCCAGAGAAAACAAACAATATAACTTTCTGCCAGAGTTTACAGCTGGTGAATGGGAAGAAGAAAAAGAAGATATCTGAAAGTTAAGATACAAATTTGTGATTATATGATGATTGCCTAAAAGTTCAGATTGTCTGAAAGTGATGCCGCTAATGCTACTGTTTCAGTGACTATAAATGGCGTTAATGCTACTGTTTCAGTGACTATAAATGGCGTTAATGCTACTGTTTCAGTGACTATAAATCGGGAGATGCGTAATCTCATTCAGAGCTTGCAGAACCACAACCAACAGCTGAAGATGGAGTCTGCCAGGTATAAAAGACGCTTGAGAGAAGCCCAGGTCGAAATTCATAAGGTATGATAAATAAAGCAAAATTGTAAGCTTAAAATATTTTTATTCCGAGGTGTAGTTGGAGCACCAATGTATGCTTGGTAAACCTGTGATGAAGAACAGCCAGGCTTTCAACCAGACAGACTTCGCAGTGATCTGATTGCCACATGAGACACCATAATACATCCAAGCATTTTATAAATTCCCCACTTTATATAGGATATGTGGAGGAAGAAAAAAATCTGACCTGCATGGGTGGAAGGGGTTGTTTGTAGGTGTGTGCGCGCGCACGCACACACATGTGTATGTGCGCAATCAAGAATAAAATGATCCTAATAACGTGTGACCTGCCTTTATCCACAGAAAACATGCTTGCTGCATGTGCAGATAACACGGGTGGAAAACAGTTTGGTTTTGCATACTGAAGTGAAAGAAAACACCGTCAGTGGAGTTGAATGGGATTTTCTCATGTATTAAAATCATTAAAAAGCATATTGTATCATGCCGAGATTATTATTATTATTATTATTATTATCAGAGACTGACGTGATGAGCATTATGCATGTTGCAGAGTGGACAGTCACAAAGAGGTGTAGCGGCAAGACTGAATGTGTCTCAAAGTCATGATAGTCGATAGTGGCTACATTATCAACATACACTCCACCGTTCCAGATGGCTGCAAACTGTGAGCAGCAACATTTATGTCTTTGATTTCAGGGTCTGGTCCTTTCTGTTTTTGAGTATGTGATAGTGATCCTGACTTTCAGCCATAAGCAGATGGAGAGGATGAAAAGGATACAGAACGAGGCTATGCACATTATACTTGGGTGTACAAGAGACACAGCTTGCAAGGCGATGCGCTACCTTCTCGATTTTCCAACCATGGAGGACAGAATTCAAATTTGCAGAGCAGGTACTTAGCTCAGAGTCAACACAGACGCACGAAACCCGCTGCATGGTGAAATTTAGAAGAGAAAAGGAAAAAGAGAGAAGAGAAAAGGCAACAGGTTAAAAAGAGAAAGTCGTGGATGGGCCAGGTTGAGAACATTATTTAACAGGTGTGTTCACTTGAGGACATAGAACCTGGTGAGGAATGGGTACAAGTACCAACAGAGAGCTGTACGTCCTTTCCTGTTTGCTTCTGTTTGCAGACAAGAAAGTTCAGCCGCTGTTGATGCAGAAGTTCAGGCTTTGATTTTAAAGAATTTGTTACAGGGGGAGGCTGTCATATACACAAATGGGTCTGTAATTTGCCATTTGAGAAGCTCTTGGGTTTTTACGGCTCAGGCTGGAGTTAGAATTGTGAAGCAAGATTCTGATGCTGTTGCCTTGACCACAAGTAGTCTGACTATGGAGGTCGTGGCAGTGATCAAAGCAATAGCATGGCTGGAGTCACAGACCTTTTCCCGTGCATGCTTTCTTAGTGACTCCTGAGAATGCTCAGGATGACAGAGAAGGCCTGGATCCGAAGACAGTGGCTGGTGTCTCTACAGCGGCCGGGGCTGACATATTTATGTCTAGTAGAAAGAGTCCAGCTACGAAAACTGGAATTCACACTTTAATGCCTCTTAGAACCACAAAGTTTCCAATCAAATCTTGTGGCCAAGAGAGACACCGGTAAAAGCCAAACTTTATGGGCCGCTAAGTGAATTACAAAGACAGTGAAGTTTGTACTAGAGACAGCATTGCAGATATAGATAATTTTTTTCAAGCGAACGAAAGAAGAAGATAATAAAACAGAGTTAAGAGACAGATTAAATGTGAGAGAACATGGAGGAAACCAGAAAATGGCCAGTATAAGACAGCTTGGCTTGAGCTGAGTATCAGCCACATATTTTAAAAATCTGGTAGGTGTCGACATGTATAAAAGGCGAAATGTATCCAGGATTCCCTGTGTGGATTCCCGGGCTCTATGTGGGGTAGAAAAGAAAAGACCCAGTGCAATCCTACTAACAAACATGAAATAAAAGGTCACTAGTTAGGAGATTTTCCTTAGAAATCTGAATGCATCTGCCTGAAAGTGAGGAAAAAACAGTCTGCATACAAATAAACCAGATCTGTAAAATGGATGAGCACACAAAACTCAATTTCTGGAACAAGACAAGTCCAGATATGGATGAACAGCCAGTGAACGCTAAGAAGAAGAAGAAATATCCAGGATTACCAGTGTATACTTTAGCAGAGTTTTATAAAAAAATTTAAATAATACTTATTTAACAAAAAATGTTTTTAATCTTTTAGTTAAAGCAGGAGATTGCTGCAACTAACCCACCGTCATCATCTTCGGCATCTGTTCCTGCTACAAACAATTCTTCTGCTCCTTCAAATGCTGCAGCATCCGCAGCTGCACCTTCTTCAACAGGCACACCAGCAAATTCTGGTTCTGCACTTGCTGGGGACACTAAAGAGAATATTGTACAGGTCAAAGAGGAGTCTCTGTCTTCACCAATCAAAACAGAACCAGGTGAATCCTCGTACACTGTATTGATCTTTTTGTGTTTGCTGTTTGTCAGGATAAGATTCTGAACAAAGAAGACACAAACAATAGACTGCACAATTTATTGCCTGGCATATTTCGCTGTATCTCATCAGGTACATACTACAGTAACAATTAAATAAAATGAAGCAAATAGCTGAATCCTAGAAACTGAAACTTAAATTCGAGTACATTTCAAACTGTTTCACCAAGATAAGTGTAGGGCAACGACCATTTCTTTTTGCCTACATAGTTCCGGTTTCAATCTGCCAATCGCTGAAACTTCCGCGTATCGAAGTAATCTACGGTTGGCCGAATTGTAAATAATTTGGAATGCATCATCCCTGTTAATGATGTGCCCGGAATTTAGAATATGGCACCAAATGCTGATGATGAATTATTTCGACCAGTCCCCTGATTCGTTGTTGTTGAGGTGTTAGTGTTCTGCATTGCTTTTACCAACCATAGTGGAATATGTTCAGCAATCCGTTGCTCCAGTCGTCGATCAGTTCTGCCCACATATGTAGCGTTACAGGTGCATTTAAATTGGTGTATACAGTTAGATCTGGCGTACGTCGACACTGGTTCTTTTACTGGTGGTGTAGGAATCCTGGTGGTTTTAAATCTCATAACAGGCATAGCTGCGTAAAAGGTTTGACGGACTGCTGTTTTGAGTGGGTCATATATACATTGCATGACGTCGTCTCCCCGAAACGTTATATGTATATAGGCTAGTTTTTTTGGCACCAACATTTCTAAGGTAACTGGTTTAGGCGGCTGGCAATGGCACTTCATATTTCTTTATGGTACAATTGCAGTTTAAAGAGGCAAAGAAGCCCTTAAAATAGTCCATGAATACAAACACAATTGCAGTTTAAAGAGGCAAAGAGACCCTTAAAATAGTCAAGGAATAAAAACTGGAGAGAGAAGAAAAAACAATTACAGACCAAAGCATGCCAGTATAAACAGGTTTGCAAAAATAACTCGGACCAAAATTTCCAGACGCAGAACGGGAAATTGTAGACTCAGAGCACGCCTACATGAAATGGGTCTTCTGCTGCATGTGGTTGTGACTCACCAAAGCAAACTCCAGAACATGCCTTAAAGGATTGCCCTGACTTTACTAGTCAGACAGAAGAAATCCCGCCCACAGGTGCTTCCCCATAAGACAAAACAATGGACACCAGTGAGGACCTAAAACGTACTGTCCTTGACCCACACTGTGGGTTTGGAGTGACCAGACTGAAAAGGTTATTTATAATCCAGTACTTTTTGGGGGGGTTCCTGTTCTTCAGTTAAATGTCATACAGTTTTATCTGTTAGTTCTTATTTGTTTGCCATACAGTGATGTCAGCTAGCTCGTGCCCTTCCACATAGTGTCATTTGTTGATATCTAAGTTTCGTCCTTCCACCTAGTGTCATTTGGTGATATCTAAGTTTCGTCATTCCACCTAGTGTCATTTGCTGATATCTAAGTTTCGTCCTTCCACCTAGTGTCGTTTTGTGATATCTAAGTTTCGCGTTTTGTGTCCTTCCACTTAGTGTGATTTGGTGATATCTAAGTTTTGTACTTCCTCCTAGTGTCATTTGGGGATAAGTTTTGTCCTTCCACCTAGTGTCATTTGGTGATATATAAGTTTTATTCTTCCACCAAGTGTCATTTGGTGATATCTAAGCTTTGTCCTTCCACCTAGTGTCATTTGGTGATATCTAAGTTTCCTTCTTCCACCTAGTGTCATTTGGTGATCTCTGAGTTTAGTCCTTCTACCTAGCGTCATTTGGTGATATCTAAGTTTCGTCCTTCCACCTAGTGTCATTTGGTGATATCTAAGTTTTGTCCTTCCACCTAGTATCATTTGGTGATATCTAAGTTTCGTCCTTCCACCTAGTGTCATTTTGTGATATCTAAGTTTTGTAAAGGTATAGTCTGGAGATGTGAACCAGCGTCATTGCACACGGTTATCTACCATAATTGCTCTGCCACTAGTACAGACAGCTGATAAGAATTGTCCGCCTGTGTCACTGTCCGCCCGTAATTCTGTAGCTACAGCGACATTCCTCCATTTACCCCAGAGTTTTGTCCTTTCACCTAGTGTCATTTGGTGATATCTTAAGTTTCATCCTTCCACCTAATGCCGTTCGCTGATATTTGAGTTTTGTCCATCTACCTAGTACAAGGGGTAGTCTTTAAGTACAGGCAATTACAATAATAGGTTTTTTTAAACAAGCGGTTGGAAAAAAATTGTTTTGTGTCCTTTTTCTCGACAGTCTCCCTACCTTGAACACATGTAGTCCACTGATCCACAAGATTGTAGATACCCATCAGGTAGAAGCTTTTGGGTGTGGCCAGTAACCAAGTTTGCACCACCAATATCACCTGAAAGTACAAAGCACTTAAGGGAGTATCCCCAGTGCTGTGATGTCGATTCTTAATTAAGCATTCAACATTCATCACCTCATTGTCATCTGCAAATCTCTGACCCTGCAAATGTTCTTTTAATGAGCGAAACAAATGAAAGTCAAAGGGTGTCAGGTCTGGGCTGTCTGCTGGATTTTTCAACAACACATCAAACCACGGAGTCTATAGTGTATCCATTGTATGCAAAGCTGTGTGTGGGCAGGTGATGGTTGCAACAACACTTGTTTTGAAAGAAGACCCTGGCGTTTTGATCTGATCGTGGGCTTCAATATGTTTGCTAACATTTCACTGTAACGAGCACTAGTCACAGTCCTCACCCCTTAACTGGAAATGAGTCAGGATTGGGCCATTGACATCCCAAAAGACAGTTAGCATGACCTTCCCAGCTAAAGCCTGTGTCTTGAATTTTCTCGGTGGTGGTGAGGCCATGTGTTTCCACTGCATCGATCTCTTCTTCTTCGATCCTTTTGTCAGAAAACTTTTATCATTAGGGCGGTAACCTGTATGAAAAGCTATCGTGCGGTCCATATCCCCTTGTGAACCATGCAATTTTGTTTTCATTATAGTTGGAACAGGCCAGATTTAGTCACTTATGGCAGCTTACAGTTGACAGTGATGGAGCATATGCTCTGCATTTTCTGGTGCCACACTACAGGGAAACGTCTTCATTGTGTTTTTGTTCTCCCACGTAGTATCTTTCAGTGATATCTTGAATTGTTCTGCAACTATTTACATTTTTATCTCTTCTTCTCTTTTGTTTTGTTGTCACAATGAGCTTCACAGCGCATTAAGCATTCCTATGCCTGCTAAGCCCCAGATGCAGCAGCCACCTCAAGATGCCTCTGCTAATTGTTTCCGTGAAATGTTTTATATATATATATATATATATATATATATATATATATATATATATATATATATATATATATATATATATATATATATATATATATATATAAGTAAAGTAGTAAAAGTAAAGATCCCTTTACACGCCTTTAGGCGCATCGGGCATACGGGAAGAGCACCCATATTTTTTACAGACCAATCGGCACTCAGTGGGTAATGTGGTCAGCATTACGCCGTATATATATATATATATATATATATATATATATATATATATATATATATATATATATATATATATATATATATATATATATATATATCCTGTAGCTTTGAAGACAACATAGGCATGCTTCACCATACTTGGCTCCCAGGTCACGCAATCGTGATAGTGTCAGAAATTCGGTATTATCCACCAGCTTGGTGTCTGTACAGCGTTGATGATATCAACACTGTTCATGCTTCTTCTGTGAGGGGGCTTCAAATTAAAACCTTATGAGTGTGATAGAGATTACAATAACCATGAGAGTTTACCGTAGCACATCATGTATGATGTGCTGCGCTGAACCTTGACTGATGTCAAGTTATGTACCAATGTCACTTACAGTCAGTTGGTGGTTTTATTGTACGAGGCCGTCAGTGGACTCTGGTATCACTACTTGGTGCGCCTGACCTGGTCCTGAACCGTCTGCCGTAGAAGTCATACTGTTTTGAAACTTCTTTTTCCACTTATACATTGGCTGAACTGACAGGCATGCATTACTATAATGGACCTTCATTCACTGATGAATTCTTATGTTTCACCCCTTCACCAATATAAAAAAAGGAAAAGTGAATAACAGAATGCTGTGTTACTTTGGTGCATGTCAATAGTGGGGCGGCCATCTTCAAACTGTCATAATGATGTCACCATGTTTGTCTGCACTGTAATGTCACATGCTTAATGCTGTTGACATCTTAACAACAGTATTGCCAGGTTACAAGACAGTTGCATGGTTATTCTAATATCTGTCACATTTTTAAGGTTTTAATTTGAAGCCCCCTCATAGCATGCATTGTTATACCACCTGTCAGTTGATCTATCCAGTTTTTAAGTTCAGGTCGTGCCATTTATTTTGCAGGCTCCACGCCAGGAGGACCACCAGCACATGTAGCTAAAAAGGAGGAATTAGATGTACCAACGACACCCATCAAACGGGAGGATGATGAGGATGGCGATTTACGGGATGTGAAGTATGGAAAGAATGACAGCGAGATTGTCAGAGAATTAAGGAACCAGTTGAAGTAAGGTTTATATTTGAATATATTCATTTTTTAAAAACAAAATTTACTCTTTTGCATTTCGTTTTGACTTGTAGGCTGATTTATTCTTGTTCTTCTGCCGTGTGTCCCCCAGAAGAGGACAAGCCATGCCTACCTCGCACAGTGTGCCATGTTATTTGCTGTTGCATTCATTTAATGTGATTCTTGTTCAGCATGAGACACACAGTAAACAACCAACAAGACCATTGTCCTATATGGCTCTGAAACCTGGAGTACTAATTTAAAAAAAAAAAAGCCTTATTTTAGACTTTGCAGAACAAAGTCTTACGAACAATGTTTTCACCCCCCCAAGATGAAAACAGCTGTGAATGAAAAGGGAAAAGCAACTACAAACTTCACATTCTGCTCAGATCACCATTAATTGCTGGTCCTTGTGGGCTGATTGATTGCCATAATTGGGACATGTAGAGAGAGAGAACAGCAGATAATAGAGAGACAAAAACTGTGTACACAAACAAGTTTAGTAGAAGTAGACCACAGGGTCGACCAAGAAGACAGTGGACAGATTATATAAGGGCAGACCTTCAAACACTTAAAGACACCAACTGAAAATAGAAGGAGAATCACAGAGATATAAATACAAAAGACAGGTGATACATGCAGCAGTGATCCTTGACAGCTTCGAATGTGGAGGAAGAAGAGAAGAGACACACACAAAAAGACAGTAACTTGTTACTTTGATTTTTTTGCATCATAGGTCTCAGAGATTAAATGTTAAACCATTTGTCCTAGGCTGTAAGAGTTAATGGTTCATTTTTCAAACTACATCATTGGTTTATATATTTTGAGCTTTTATGTGGTTGAAATAACAGGATTATTCCCGCTAATATAAGTAAAAAGTGAAAGTAAAGGTGCCTTTTCCATGCCTTTAGGCGTATAGGGCATATAGGGCTAGACCTATAATTTTTTAGACCGATCGGCACAAGATAGGTGATGTGGTCAGCATCACGCCGGCCACTTTTACTTCCCGGGACTGCACCCAGTACCCACTCAGGACTGGGTCACCTTGGGAGTCGAGGTCATTTTGGGGAAAAGTCCAGCTTCGCCAGGGAGCCAACCCACAACTTTCCAATCCGCACGTGGGCCTCTAGCCGCTACACCATGGTGACTCCAGAGCATGATCCTTGTGCTAAGTAATTCTTTGAGCATGATCCGGCAGGTCAGGGCAGGTTCTGTGCGCAGACAATGTACTGACTCATTGGGAAACTCCAGTATGCGTGAAGCTACCTTCTTCATTCACAAAACATGCATCTATTGATAACAAAAGAGCTAATAGATTGGCCAGTTCTGCCTTAGTTGCAGATGACTGGCCTATGGATCGCGCTGACATTGTTAATGCCCTCAGAGAGAAGTGACCATTAGAGGATTTTGGGATCACTGTTAAGAATGCGAGAATTGGGAGGAAAGATCGGCACAGCCAGGTATGAGAGGACACTGGACATGCAAGATACATGGAAAAAAAACCATTATTCTTTAAAACTGTTTCTTTCCTTCTCTTTCAGTAGTAAGACGGAGTTGCCCATCATTCATTGCAGTATTAGGAAATTAAGGTAATCCTATTATTTTTCCAGGAAGTCCCAGGATAATGTCAGAGAATTGAAACTGTTGTTAGACACATATAAAGCAGCACCTAAAGAACAGAGGGACAAAATTCAGGTATGCTTTGAGCACATTTTTTGTCATTAAATGTTTGAGTTGCCAGTTAATGACAAGTAGTCATAGAACACATAAATCCATTTTCCCTATATGGTCCTGAAATCTGAAAAAAAAATATGAAGCATTATTACAAACTTTTGAGAACAGTTTTACAACACAAGTTTTTGGATCCAGCAAAGATGAAAACGGTAGAATTGAGGAATTGAATCTTCAGCAAAATGTGTTCTTAAGAAAAAAAAGGCATACATCCTAACCTGCACATTTGGTGCAGGTCCTAATTTCTTAGTCTCAAGAACTCTTCCCCTCTCCTGTCCAACAGCACCATAAAAAGTAGTAAAACCGTAATAGAAGAACACAGTTAGGCTTTTAAAATGAACAGTTAAGCAGGAATTGAAAGAGCTGACAGACTGACCATGCCTACAGTGGTTGGTGAATCTACAATGGTTGGTGATTCTACAGTGGTTGGTGATTCTACAGTGGTTGGTGAAGGAAGAAGTATAGCTTGGGCAGACTGAATCTGCTGGCGTTCCAGAGATGTTGAGACAAATAAGTCAGTGATGATGAATCACCTGTTGGAAATGATTATTAAACAAAGACAAGCATACAAAAATCGGTTTGGGGGCAAAGAAAGATGGTGTGCCAATCAACTCCTCCTTGATGCCTTGAGCATGAAGACTGAGATGGCTGCTGCATCGGATGAAGCACGAATGGGTCAGACTGATGTGCTAAGATATTGATACCGGTAAAAAAAAAGTAATGAACTGTTATGCCATTGCAAGGATTTATCTTGATAAGACACAAGTAAAATTTGTCTGCCCTTTGGGAACAAGCAACGGAATCAGTAGAGAAACAAGATTATTATGGCCTGTAGAGAATGAGGCACCTGGGTGTAACCAGAGGGTCTGGCCGGCTGACTACACTCAGCGGAAAGGCAAGACAGACATATAACCAGATTGTGACCGGTACCATCAGTATAGGAACTCTGCGCTGGCTGCTGAAGATAAGTCAATTCTTGACTCAACTCAAGTAACATTTTCCTTTGTAGATAAGGAGGAGAACAGGAGTTTGAAAAAAAAATATGGCTGTTTTATGTATTTCATTAAGACTATAAGTAGACCGAAATGTTCTTAAACATACCTATATTCTTTGTGTGTGTGTGTGTGAGAGAGAGAGAGAGTGTGTGTGGGGGGGGGGGGGGGTCTGTCTGTGGTATTCTTTGTATTTTCTATTTACAAATTTGTAAGACATCAGGAGCCCTTTCTTGGCAGTGGTGAATCATCACAAAGTAGCTTGGTTTGGGCACATGGTGTACATGAACCGATTGCCAAGACTGTGCTTCAAAGAGCATTGGGGGGTGGGGGGTGGAGGTAGTCGAAGAAGAGTAGGCTAAAGAAGAACATGGAATGACAACATCAAGAAATGGACAGGACTAAGTTATCGCACATTTATTCATCAAGCAGAAGGCAAAGATGGTGGGTTTTATGTACTTCCATCAGTACACTTTTCTAACAGGTCAGGGGTTATGTTATGTATTGTCTACAGAAACCACACTTGAGGTAGTTTTTTTCTTAAAGAGACTGTTTCTTTCCTCAAACTGAAACTGCTGATTATACTTAAACAGTTGATGGCTGCAGAAAAGAAAGCTCGTCAAGAGATTGAGGAGCTGAAATTCCATTTAAAACGCAAAGAGGAAGCAGAAAGGAGAGACAGAAGGAAGCTGGCAGATGAGGATGCTATGAGAAGAATAAAAAAGATGGAGGAAACAATCATGGAGCTTCAAAAAAATTTAGCCAATCAGAAACAGGTGTGTAATTCATTATTATTTAATTAATTGATTGAAGTGATTGAATGAATTGATACGTTGATGAATGTATTGATCGGGAAATCGATGATTGATCTGGATTTGAATTGGTATAATTTTACGTAGGACACACAAGTATGTGTTCTGTTTCTGTCTGTGAATGTTGGATTGGACGTATGTTGTATCTGCTAGGCTGGCAGTTAAACGGGAAGATACATATAGAGACAATACAAATGTAGAATAGGGATGAATAGTATGTTATGCCACATATTTATGTCATTGAAGGTGAGAAAGACAATTCATAATAGATGCATGAGAAAAGGTAGGCTAGAATGCATCATTACAACATGAAAGTTGGAGGGGGGGGGGGGGCAGTGGTTGAAATGCAGGGGTTTCGGTTTAAAAAAATATTTTTGTCAGTACTTGATTTCTCCCCATAACTCCTGAACTTTTCAGTACCAAACAAGTGTAACTTTAACTCATTATTTCCTCAGCAGTTTTTGCTGTCTTCTTCTTCTTCTTCTTCTTCTTAGTGTTCACTGGCTGTAAACTGTGGTGGAAAATTCTTGTTCATCCATTGCTGGACCTTTGTATTGTACCAGAACTTGAATTTTGTGTACACATCTGTTTGACAGAGCTGGCTTATTTGTATACAGACTGTTGGTTGCTCTTCTTTCAGGCAGATGTACTCTGACTTCTAGTGAAGCATTCCGGTGAATGCTAAGGAGAAGAAGAAGAGTAGAAACTAACATTCACAGAGAGTTATTTGGTTGGAAGAGTTAAGAAGACTGATTACTATTGAAAGAATAGAGTTGAGGAAAGTAGGCTGTGAGTGCTACCCCTTGGCAGCTCTCAAAGGTCATGATCTTTCCCACAAATAGTATAATCTTTGCCCTTTTTTTTAAAAAGTTAACTAGCAGTCTTCTTTAAGATGCCAAGAAACAGATGATGAAAGTTGATTGGAGAAAGTAGATGCAGACAGTTGGTATTTTTCTGATGTTGTTAGAAGGAAGGGACTTAAGAAGTCGACAACAGCTGGCAGTTTTGATGGAGCAAAGGAAAGGCAAAGAGATAAATATCTGGATGGCTTAGCTATTTGGAGGGGGTGAGACAAATAAAAAAGACCTGATCTATTTTTCTGGTGATTGTGTAAGATGGTGAGAGTTGATAGCATAGGCTGGCATGGAGCATGATGATGATTAGCATAAATATTTTCATTGTTTGCTATAGTTTTTAGTCTTTAGTGCCATTCTAGTCAAGTTACATACCAAAATAGGGAAGTGATGTAGAGTCCATGGTAGACCAAGAAGGGGAAACGGTAACATGTGAGAAACTCTACGGTACCATCAAGGGTTTCGGGTTGAGTTGGCTTAAAGAGCAAAAACCAGAACTATTTACCTCCCTTGACACCTAAAATTAATTTACATTAACAATTCTTTGAAATAAAATTATTTTTGCTTTGCATATGTCTAACATTCATGTGGTTGCTTTGACTTAATACTGCATTTAGTGTGGCATGAGGAAGCTGGAAACCAACCTGGCAGACAAACACATTTGTCATATGAAGCTGCTGATGCAAAACCTTGACACATAGTCCAAACTCAGTTATAATTCTGGTTATCAGGTTATCAGTCGCGGTTCCAACTTTGCAGCAAACAAGTCACTCCAGAATTGTGAAAAGTCAGACAGACAGCTATCTGGGCAAAATCAACACCCAATAAATACATAGGGCAGTCACCAGAGGTGCCAGCACCAACAGTCTGTCACTAGAATTCCATTTTATAGTTGATTGAAGCAGCAGTAATGATAAACCAGTAGGTGTACACAAATTATTGCATAAGACATATAGCCAGTTCTGTGGCAAACATCCCCTCCAACTTTTCTGAACATGTAACTCACAACACAAATCAGGAGGAACGAACAAACAAACTTTATTTCCAAAGGGTTACAAATTGGGCATGCTGGCTCATCTTGCATTCAGCACTTTAATTGCTTAATAATTGAGCATAGGCAAGAGGCATTCCACATGACATGCAACTCATTGTTTCACCATGCACACAGTTCAGTAACTGGCTGTAGAAACCAGTTTTATGTCTAAGAGAATTAGGACCTCTACTTTTGCAACACTGATCCTCTGTGGATGGTCTGCTACTCCTTGGTACAACTTGAACACTGCAGTGTCTCATGTACTAGCTGATATGCTCACCGTAAGGCATAAATATTACAAGTTTTCCAGTACATCACATGCACAACACAAAAATGTCTAAACAAAAGCTATCAAGTAGGAGAAAAGGAAGAACATGCTTTATTTATTTGTGAATATTTCTTGACTGGCTTCTTCCTGTCTTGTGCTAGAGAGAAGAAGGGTTGCTGAATGATCTGGATGTGACAGGTCAAGCCTTTGAGGACATGCAGGAGCAGAACACCAGGTTGTTGCAGCAGCTGAGGGAGAAGGATGATGCCAATTTTAAACTCATGTCAGAGGTGAGCTGTTGTTTTGTTGGGGACGTTAATGAGAGCTATGCTGAACAAGTAGTGCATGGAGAATATTGAGTTCTTCCTGTCTAGTTTTCTCTTTCCTCACGTTCACTGGCTGTAAACTGCATCAGGCAGTTCTGATTGTTTGTCATTAACTTCTGACTTCAGTCTTGTTCTGGAATTTTCGTTTTACAGATCTGGCTTTTTGGTGTGCAGATTATTGGTTCCTTGTCTGTCAGGCGGATGCACTCTGACTTCGAAGCAATCCCCTAATTAGTCAACGCTTTCAATAAATTTGCTAGGCAAGCGTGGGTCTGCTCCCCCACCCCACATCACAATGGGGCCCTGGAACCCACCTGGAGATTACCTGGTTCCAAATCTCTGTCATGTTTCTTTTGATTATTGCAGACCAATAATCTGCACACCAAAAAGCCAGATCTGTAAAACGAAAAATTCCAGAACAAGACTGAAGTCAGAAGTTAATGACAAACAATCAGAACTGTCTGATGCAGTTTACAGCCAGTGAACGTGAAGAAAGAGAAAACTAGACAAGACAAACTCAATATTCTCCATGCACTACTTGTTGCATACCTGAATTTTGTCCCTCTGTACTTTAGGCGCTGCTTTATATGTGTCTAACAACAGTTTCAATTCTCTGACATACAGGCACGCGCGCACACACACGCACTCACACACACACGCGCACGCACGCACACACGCACGCGCACACACACACACATATTTATACACACACGCACACGTGCGCGCGCACACACACACACAGAGAGAAAGAGAGAGATATTATTAACATCTGAACAGTTAGCAATCTTAGATAATCAGCCACAGGTTTTCTTGTTCTTTTCATCATCCAGTTGCCTCGGTAAAGTGTGCATGTGTTGGGAGGGGGAGAAGGGGTGTGTGTGTTGGAGAAGAGATCTAAGGATCTTTTTTATGCTCTTTCTAATGCACTGTGTGAGCTTCTTCTTCTTCTTCTTGTTCACCGGCTGTGAATTCCGGCGGTAAGTCGCGGTTGTTCGTCCAAATAGACTTTTGGCTTTTACTTTGACCTGGGTTTTGCGTGTACATCCGTTTTACTGGCTTATTTGTTTGCAGTTTTCGTTCCCCGCCTCTCCGGCAGATGTACTCCGACTTCGAGGGAAGACGTCAAGCCTATTTCTAGGTTGACTGTGGCCATTGTTTTGTGTGGGTCTAGATGTTGCCTCATTTGTGTGGTGTCCTATTTGACCTTTAACAGGTGTGGCCCCCGGAATATCGTCCTTAAGGCAGCCCTAGGTAGAATTGTCAGCCCTCAAGGGAAGGCAGGGGCAGATCATGGGCATTCCCCGCCACCCAAGGAGGCTTCAATAAATGCAGAGCCGACACATGATGCTCTGATTCTGGGCTCACCCAAGGAATCGTCACGTCCTGCCCATGACTGCTTAACCTCACAACCGTGTATTGAGCTTAATAGGTACATTCTTTTTCATCGTACGTTAGACACCTTTAACGTTGTTTCAGCTGTGCCCTTAGTACGACAGAATGGGGAAGCAAAATGTGTCAGGCGTGGCTTCACCTGTTTGGTTCCAACACTCGGGCGAGTGGGACCAGTGGATACGGACATTTGGACTTTTTCCTAATCGGTACGAATTATGATCGTCGGACTTTGAGCTTACATGTGTGCCGTGGAGTATAACTTTGTCGGACATTATTTCCTAGCCAGTATATGAAAAGTTGCTGCCGTGGTGTACCTCATCGCGGTGACGACGACACTGAGGATTGACAGAGGATGTACGTAGGTAGGATCTTGCTGCGAGAAGTCGCCCACAAGAGATGTTACTCGTCTTGGCTGCGGGTAAATCTCTCGGTCAGGGTTGAGTCTCAGCAGCACAGTTTTCCATTCGCTCCCGAATTTTAACCGAGAGTTGTCATTTGATGGTACATTTAGCAAGCAATCCTTGAGTTTTGTTAGACTTTTCACCCATGCGTTTGGGGGCGGGCTGGTGAGAGCCAGAAAGGACACTACACCTCTAGGGGCCGCCAGCTCCGAGATCCCCTGCCAACTCTGTTAATGCTCATTTGAGACATTATCCGTGGCGCACGACGGGGACGTGCAGCAGGAGTCTTGCATGAGGTTCCGTAAAACCAGAACAGTGAAGGACTGGCGCCCGAGTGGGGTACGGAGTATCTCCTTATACACATCACATCAGACTTAACTTTGCCTCATGCCTGTGACCGAAATCACCGCGCCACACTGTGTGAGCTGATCTTCATTTCTCCAAGGTATGATCTTGATGGTGTCACTCCATATTTTCCGGGGTCATCCCCTTGCTCTGTGTTCATTATATGTTTTTAAATTTGTTTACATTTTTGTGACTTTCTGTAGCAGTTGTTACTGTGCATTATTCATTATTCTCAGGTGGCCAAACTATCTTGTCAGTGCTTTTGTAATGTTTTAATTGACTGCTTTTAGTTCTGACCTAGTCTCCCAATTTCTTCATTTTTATTTTTTAAAATTGTATTGCCCCTTGTTGCTCTGGCAGCTCTCCTAAGCGATCTGATTTCTGTTATGAATTTCTCCTTATTTGGTTTTACTCTGCTAACATAATTTTAGCCTAAAATAGTTTTTATATATTTGCTTATGGACTTTAAAATAGGCTTTGTAGACCACATACAAAGTGTAATTTTCCATTACAAGAATGATTGTATCACAAGAATGTTGAATTAAGAATCTTCATCACAGCACTCAGGACACTCCCATAAACGCAGTGTCCCCATCTTCAGCAGCAAGCAAAGAGTTCAAATTCTGATGGTACCAATAACTGATTGTACATCCCTCTCACCTTTCTCTTGAGGGATGAGCATGGCCAGATTCTCTGGTTGTATCATATCCTTACTGTTTTCATTTTTGTGCAGAGAATCAAATCAAATCAGATTCAGAAGCTGCTGAGGGAAGAGAAGGATGTCCTTACAGAACAGGTGGCCACACTACAGGCACAAGTTGAGGCTCAAAATATGGTGGTTCGTAGCTTGGAAGAGAAGGAGAGAGTACTGCAGAACAATTTAGCCATAGTGGAAAAAGAACAGGGGTATGTCTTCATGTAATTAGTGTTTCACTGTTAACTTTACTACTACTTTTACTTGCAGACCTGAATGAATGAAGGATTAGCATCACTGCACTTGGGACATTCCCACACGTGCTCCATCCCCTTCTTCAGTAGCCAGCAAAGGGTTGACATGCTAAGAGTGCCATCTGCAATCTGATTGAAAGTCCGCCTTCGTTTCCTCCTCAGCGTTGAATATCTTCCAGAACCTCTACTTGCATTGAATTAGTCTTTCTGTTTAGAAGTCTTTTGCACTGTTCCTTTGATCCCAGAGAGCCTTCACCATGCCCGCTTTATCATAAAGTAGCTCCCCACCCTTATGAGTGGCAGCAGCTAATCTGTCAGCCTGCCTCTGACCTCGCTCACCTGAATGCTCACCTGCTAGCTCTGCTGATCATAGGTTCACATCCCACTTAAGCTGGATTTGAGAATCAAACCTTGGCTGCCAGGTCTCTCAGCCTAAAATGGTACTAGGAAATGTTGAATTAAGAATCTACATCACAGCACTCGGGACACCCCCATAACCGCTCCGTCCCCATCTTCAGAAGCAAGCAAAGAGTTCAAATTCTGATGGTACCAGTAACAGTCGGATTGTATATCAGTCTCGCCTTTCGGGATCACATACTGGAACATTGTGAACAGCATTGTTTGTTCCATGTCCATTGCTGCCACAATCTTGAGAGCATTGAAGTCCATTTTGGTTATTTCACCGCCTCTGCCTCTACATGATCCCTGAAGGACAGGCTTCTGTTAAAAGTGATACCCATGTACCTCAGTTTGCTTTCTCTTTTGATGTTATTGTCATTAATCATGCGGCTTGGAACATCAGCTCTAACAATTCTTTTGTCCACGTTGAAGCCAACAGACACTTGGTGGGTTGCTTGGTACAGAAGAAATTAACTCCCAGTGAACACAAGATGTGCCGATTTTACGTCTCTCTTGACCATCCCTTGGGCCTCTGACACTAACCCCCCTGATTAATGAAAGAGTTAAGGACCCACATAACATCATCGTCATCATCCCCTGACCCTTTGTGTGGTTGGGTCATCAGTTATCGTTGACTGCCTGGTCAGTTTCTTCCACCTCTGTTGGTCAAATGCTTACTTACTGGACACTGCAAACTCAACAGACAGGTATGAGCTAAACAAGGCTGAAGTCCAGAGGTTGAAAAACAGCTAGATTTTTGCAGCGGCTGAAGAGGAAGAATGGAAATAGTTAAAGTAAAGGACCCTTTTCACACCATTGGCGTATCAGACATGTCATGCTCGATTCATATTTGTATAGACCAGTATTCTCTCTGCGGGTGATATGATCAACAAACAGTTTGACTGGTAATTCATTTTTTGATGGTGGTGTTAACACTTGATAGCTGTGATTACCAGTGTTCATTTTCTTCTTTCGTTATGTTGGTTCCGTGGGCTCCTTTTATAGAGGAAAATGAATAGACCCACTGTCCCCTAACCCGTAACAAGCCTGTGTAAAAGGCAACTTATTAGGGGCTTTTCCTTCATAGTGCATCTGCTTGGGAGGTGAGGAAACAACAGTCGGCCTACATGTAAACCAGATCTCTAAAACGGATGTGCATGCAAAACTTAAGTTCTGGAATAGGACTAAAGTCCAATAACCAGGACTTTTTGCTTGAATTTTTTGCATGTCAGTGTTAGAAGAAAACCATTCTCGTCTTATCTTCCCTTCTAATTTTAGTTTTTAAATTAATTTGTTTACCTTCTCCATATCACTGTTTATCATTCATAAAAAAATATGTGTCTGTTACATGAGGCCTCGGAGTTGTAGTTGTACAGAAGAATCCTTAGAATTCCTTGGACAGCGAAGAAGAGTAACTCAGATGTTTTGAAAGAGGCAGGTACTCGAAAGACAACTTATCACAAACATAAGGAAGAGACAGTTTTCATTTTTTGGTCATGTTATGAGTAGAGAGAAAAATGGAACATGTTGTAACCACTGGAAAGATTTGTGAAAAGAGAAGCAGCGTGAGAAGATTCTTGACAGCCATGGCATGGAGGGGTGTCAACACACGAACTGATACACGCAGTTGCAGATCGCAGATTGTGGAAAGACATGATCGCTCACACCAGTTGGCAAGGCACTTGATGATGATATCATATTCCCAGTGTATCACTCATCTAAAACAGAAAAAGTCCTTTACTTAAAAAAAAAAAAAAAAAACTTGCTATAGCTTATTCCATCTGATATTTTCATAGACTAACACAGCAGGCCATGGAAATGCACAAGAGAAAGGCAGTGGAGAGCTCACAAACAGCTGCTGACCTCAAACTTCATCTGGACAAGTATCAAGCCCAGTTGAAGGAGGCACAAGTGGCGGTGGCTGAAAAGACTGCGTCCCTGGAGCAAGAAGTCTTTAAATACAAACGGATGCAGGTAATAATAGCTTGAGGAAACACTGTGGCTTCTGTTATACACACATTTTCTTCAAGTGCTTTAGGGGAACTATATGCACCTTCTCCTCAACTTGTGACCCGTGCGACTTATAATCATCCACATTTAAGACCACAAAAAATAAAAGAAAAACAATAACAAAAAGTCAATAAACAAAGATAACTACACTGAGAGGGTCAAAAAGCTGCAGAAACTGATACCTAGTACAATAATTATACAGACAGAGGTTTAATTTTTCTGTTTTATATACAATTGTTAATATACATTTGACTTATGATCGGTTCGACTCACGACCTGTTAAAATGGAACTGTCGTAAGTTGAGGAGACCCTTCTGTATATAGCCAGTTCTGATTTTTTTTTTAAAGTTAATCATAGGGCAAGGGTGGGATCAGGCGTTTAACACTGCACCCAGCAGTGTCAAGGTTGGTCAGCTTCTTTTTGGAGAGGTGCAAAATGAAATTTAAGTAACCTGCCAACGACCCATAGAGCACCCAGATCAACCCCACCTCATAGTGCACTGGGCCACGTGACGAGCCTAGAAGCTGGCAGTGGTGTCATTGTTTGCTACTACACAAGAAAATACATTAAATACATATGGGACAATGAATAAGGCACTAGAACAGAAAATAACTAAATGTGACAACGCATGAAGAGTTACGAATAACAACATCAAAGAGAAAGTTGGAAAAAGACCATGTCTGGATTATATTGACAAAGAATGAAATGCTTTGACCATCTAGTAAGAATGCAGCGAGGCCAAACTACATATGAGACTTTTTACAGCAGAACATCTGGGATGATGGCAAGACGAAGACCTAGAAAGAGATGGATAAATGGTGCAGCCAAAACCTGCAAAAAGGTGAATAAATCTATCACTCAAGCCAACTGAGAAGCGCCTTACAGAAGAACCACGACACTGGGCTAAAACCTGATATCAGTGAGATGACAAAAGAAGAAAGAAGAATCACGATAGTCAGTATATTAGTGAAAACATGTGGAAGCTTAATGGATGTGGTTTTGTGCAAGAGTAATGATAGCACCATGAACAGATAAAACATGTAATAAGAATATTTGGAAAGAAATTAACTTGAAAAGGGAGCTGATTATCTTCTACCTGAGAAGTAATCTACATTTATTGGGCACATCATTAAAAAAAAACACACACAAAACTTGAATACATTGAGACAACTGGAAATGCTAATCATCGTCCCATGGGAAGAGTTAAACAGTTTTAATGTGTCCTGTAGACACATTAAGTACATAATGCAGCTGATACGGAATGCCATCACCAACAGTCCATCACAAGAATTGCAGTGATGAAGTATGAGGCAGAGGAAATGGCATGCAATCTTTTTCTTCCCCATGTGGGTTTTGGGGTTTCATTGCTGCGGTTAAAACAAATTTTTTTTTAAAGACAGAAAGAAAAAAATCCACTGCCCCTCCATAGCAAGCATGTCATACAAGTTGATATAATTAGGGGCATTTCCTTCAAAGTTGGAGTGCATCTGCCTAAGAGGCAAGGAACAAAAGTCTGTTAATAAATAAGCCTCAACAGTCTGTGTGCAAATAATTGAAGTCTGTAAAACGGATGTGCATGCAGAACAAGGCTAAAGTTCAGAATTGGATGAACATCCAGAACTTTCTGCTGGAGTTTACGACCAGTGAATGCTAGGAAGAAGAAGACATTCTTCCTAGGGGCCGTGCTGAGAACTACCTTAAAAAAAATACTTGCTGCGTTGACATTTGAATTTAAAACGTGTGTTATCATCATCAAGGGTTTTGGCAGGTTGGCGACCATGCTTCTCCAACAGCAAGGAGCATTTTTTTGCTCTGACACCTTTCCATGCCATAACAGTAGACTCAAGAATTTTCTCTCATATTCTTTCTCTGTCTTTTCTTTAATGAACTTTTGCAGATATCATATGTACCCGTTTGTCTCTTCTCAGAATTAAAAAGAAAAATTGCACATAACGTGGGTTACAAATAAAAACATTTAGACATTTTGTTTATTTATTTGTTTATCCCTTCTAGGATTGCAGCCTTTAGGATTGACATTTGTAAAGCAGTGTTTCCCTGTTGTAAATTTGAACAACAAAGACCCAAGCAAACACACTGCACGTGTATCACCTGCATATTTCATTTGATTGTGAACCTGCATTTGCCCTGGTAAAACAGATTTTGAATACGGGGAATGTTTTGTATTTTGGGTCGGCATCTGTGGCTTAGGCACTGTACGAACATCCTTTGTAATTCTAAGGTGCCGTTTTCGGTCAAGCTGCTGGCAGTTTGGCAGCAGACCTCCTAGCGTTGGTTTTGACATTGGTATTGAGAGCTGACCGTTTGGAACCAATGGCAGACTACTAAATGTAAAATCACAGAAAGCCAAACAATGCTGAGGTTGATTCTGCAATGTCACATAAAGGACACACGGCTAACTCTTTTGTGTTTCTGTTGATAGGATTCACTTGTCTTTTTATTTTATTATGTCTAAAGTGTATACCTGATAAGAAACTGTAATTCAAAAAAATGTTTGAACTTTTTTCCCCCTTCTGGTAATAAGGAGGAAGTGGCAAAACTGAACCGTAAACTAGAAAGGAGCAAGAAGATTGAAATGGCAGGTGCAGCTGACGAAGTGCTTTTAGAAGAGATAAAAGAATATAAGGTTTGTTTGTTGTTTACTGTGTGCTCCCCCCCCCCTTTTTTTTTTTTTAAATTACTATTAAATGGCTGCGAACCCTGGACAGTTAATAAATAACCATTTCTGGAGGCCTCCAAAATGTAGCTTTACAGAATTCTTAGAATTCCTTGGGCGGTCAAACAGATCAACCTGGAAGTTTTGAAAGAGGCAAGAGCTCAAAGGCAACTTATCAGAAACATCAGGAAGAGACAGTCATCATTTTTTCATCATATTATTAGAAGAATAAAACTGGACAAGGCGACCACTGGAAACATCTGTGGAAAAAGAGACAGAGAAAGACAACATGAGAAGATTCTTGACAGCCTTTTGTCATGGCACGGAGGGGTGTCAGCACACAAACTGATACATGCTGTTGAAGATCATAGATTGTGGAGAGGCATGATCATTTAACACCAGTCGGCAAGGTATGTTGATGGTAGTGAAGATTAAAAGTGTTTCCAGATTGCTAGCTTGGCCTAAAGGAGTCAGGATCTTCGACACACCTCCCTTCACCTAGGAAAATCTCCAGAATTGGCACATGGAATGTTAAAACTTTTTATGATGTGGGAAGGGTAGTAGAGGCAGTAAGAGAATTTAAATATAGGAAAAACACTATTTGATATATGCTACTCTTCTTCTTCTTCTTCTCCACCTCTCCTCCTCCTTCTGCTTGTTCTTCTTATTCTTCTTCTTCTCCTTCTTCTTTTTCTTTTTTGTGTTTGCCGACTGTAAACTCTAGCAGAAAGTTCTGACTATTGTCCACTCTGGATTTTATATTTCTGCTAGAACTTGAATTTCGGGTGCAAATCTGTTTTACAGATCTGCTTGTTTGTATACAGATAATTGGTTCCTTGTCTATGAGGCAGCCACCCTCCGACTTCAGGGAAAGACATCATTTTGTTAACATCTATCTGTTGACTCTCTTCCTAATATTTGTCTCTGTTATGTTGAATGCTCGTCTCTGTTTGACTCTGCAGGAGCAGCTAACCTGTCCGTCGTGTAAAGTGAACAAGAAGGATGCGGTGCTGACCAAATGTTTCCACGTGTTCTGTCTGGAGTGCCTGAGGACCAGATACGACACCAGGCAGAGAAAGTGTCCCAAGTGCAATGCTGGATTCGGTGCAAATGACTTCCATCGACTGTATTTATCATAAGTTGGTAATTTTGGTTGTAGGAAACTAGGACCTGATCCATTCATTATTCACTGGCTGCATGTACTTCTCCTGTTTGGCTTTCACTTGCAGCAGGGGTGGGGAATGTCTGGTCAACAGGCCATACCAGACACATGAGACCCATACAATCATTTGTTTTGACCCTACTAAAGGCCACAAAATCATTTAGTTTGGCCCCACTAAAGCCCACAAAATCATTTAGCTTGGCCCCACTAAAGCCCACAGAATAATTTGGTTTGGCCCTACTAAGACAACCACAGTTAAATATTTTGACCAAAAACTTGCCTAGGCCTTATAGAGAGAATGACTGATAACAGGGAGACAGAAACTTCATACTCAAAAGAGTTGAATAAGGGGGGGGGGGGGGAGTGTTATACTGCAGAGCTACAGACGCTTGGGGTCACTGACTGGCGAGAAAAGGTCAATCAAGAGATAAATGGAGGCAGGTGATATCTGCATCAATGAACCTGAAGGGTTTGGAATTAGAAGAAGAAGAAATTTATTTGGCAACATTTTCAGTTGAAAATTTTCTTTGGCCTGGAAATGATGTAATAAATATCCAAATGACGCTTAGCAGAACAAAAAACATTCCCACCCCCAGAATGACAGAAGTCTGTTGTTTTTCTTTTGAAATTTTGTTTTTGGGTAACTATAAAAAATATAGTTTTCTTTGCTTTTTTAAAAATTGTTTTTTTATCAGATATTCTTTTCCGCTGTTAGACATGAATGTTTCTGTATTGTGTTTTCTTTTAAGCAAATATAGACAAATTCGGTTGTCACACATCTTTTTTTTTTTTTTTGTTTTTTCAAAGTGATTGCATTTCACTGCCTAGTTTTGACAAATGTGTGTTTAGTCATGTTTGTTGTATATTAAGTAGATTATTGTAAATTCAGAATCTGAAAGGGATCAAGTCATTTGAAAATATTATTCTTTGTTTCTGTTTCTTGTGTAAAGATGGCCGACACAGTACATTGCCAGTTTGGATTGTGTGAGGCGAAGCTTTATAAATGTGTATGTGTAGACATTTGGTCTTACTTATTTCTGTATTTCTCATAGAAAGTAGAAATATGCGTAGGAATGAATGATCAAGAGGTAGCATCTGGAAATATTTTTGATGTCTCCTTAAAGGTTTTAATTTAATTTTAAACAATTGAAGGTAATTCTTTATGAGTCAAGTGATACTGTGGGTGTGAATGGTTAGCTCTTTATGCCTGCTTGCTGAGCAGTTCCTTTCTGGGCACTCCATTTCATGATTTTGGTTTATTTTTCTTTGATAAGGCGATATTTTTTTTGTCGGGGGAGGTGGGAAGGGAGTCTTATCTTCTTCCGCATTCGTCTTTAAAATAGTGACTGGCAAATCATGTGGTTGCAACATCTGTGCCATTTGGCTCAAGACATCTGATTTCAGCAAACCTTTAGTTAGTGTCCCCTTTATGTCATGCTTGTTTAAGGGACAATGAGTCTATTTATTTCTCCCGGAACAAAGGGGCTCGGAACCCACATGGGAACAAATTCCTTACTTGTGCGGTTCATGTTGATTTTCTTTCGTTACCGTTCTTCCTTATGTTACCATTCACCAGCTGTAAACTCCAGTAGAAAGTTCTGGTTGCATATTCATTTGTGGACTTTTCCTTTGTTTCAGGACCTGAATTTTGCGTGTGCATTCAGTTTACAAATTTGTGCAATCTGTTGTTTTTGCACTCCGACCACCCAAGGAATATCCCTTCCTGATTTCTCCCCTCCTTGCAGTACAATCCATGGCATCATTGAACAGAGAAGTGGTCAAACAGTTTGAGAGTTATATCATTAGTTCAACATTTTAATTATCATCTCATTCAAAACTGTATAATATTGTAAATGTGATTGTAGGATGTTGTTTCAACTAAGTCATGTTTTTTTTTCTGTTAACTTTTTTTGTTTGGTTTATCACACAAAACAAAGAAACAGCTATTAGTTCATTATTTATGATATTATTTCCATGTCTACAGCCATTTGTGGATATGTTTTTGCTGTGGTTGTAATTTCATGTACACATTACAGTGTTTGTAAAGAGTTACAAATATCTTCTTAATGGAATACAATTGAAAATGAAATTAAACAGTCACGTCTTTATTTATTTATATTTTGTTGTTGTTGGAAAAAAAAAAACTGTCAGATATAGAGATTAAGAAGAGAGTGGGAATATTCTTCTTCTTTGCCATCACTGGGTGTAATTTCAGGCAGAAAGTTCTGGTTGTTCATCCACTTCTGGACTTTAGTCTTGCTCCAGAACCTGAGTTTTGTATTCACGTCCATTTTACAGATTTGGCTTATTTTATGCAGACTGTCAGTTCATTGCCTCTCAGGCAGATGCAGTCTGACTTCAAAGAAACATCCCTAAAATTGTGAACTTTTATGAAATGCTTACTGGGGGATAGTAGGTCGGTTCCCCACAATGGGACCCAGGAAACCACATGGAAAGAAAGTTGGAATGGGAAAAGAGTTGCTAAAAATAATATTTAAAAAAAAAGACCAGTGAAATATTTCAGCCACGTTAACTCTTTCAGTACCAAGCAACACTTTCAATCAATCAGGTGCCCTCTTGACAGTTGAGGTTTGCTATAATCGATCTACAACATGCTCTGTCTCCTGTCTTGGTTTTACACACTCTCAGACTGCTTTTAGTTCATCACTTGATGTTTCCTGCCACTTGTCTCATCATGTCTACCTCTTGCTCTCTTGTCTCTGACTTTTTCTTCTGTTGCATACATGTACTTGGGTACCAACTTTAATTGCTTATTTGTGCACAGTTGATTGTTCCTTGCCACTCAGGCAGAAGTTCTCTGACTTTGAAGGAAGTCTACAATTAGACAACTCCAATGAGATGCTTGTTGAGGAGGCAGTGGGTCTGTTCTTGTTTTCCCCCCACAATGGGGTCCCGGAACCCACACGTTGAATAATTTGTTTAAATCCCCAATAATCACTAGCATCATGAGGGTTAATAGACATCGAGTGACTTGCGGTGTCCCAAAGACAGAGGATGACTTACCAAGGAACATTGGTGACCCTTGTCAAGAACAGTGACAGACATAAGAAGCACCTTGACCGACTCAAAGTGTCCCAAATGAGAAATACATAAATTGACCTAAAGTTTACCAAGGATAGTGGCCAATTACCCAAGGAACTTTTATGACCTGGCTTGTCAAGACCAGTGACATACTTAAGAAGTACCTGACCCACTCAAGAGTGTCCCAAAGGAGAAAGACATCTATTGACTTAAAGTATACCAAGGATAGTGACCAAATTACCAAGGAACTTCAGTGACCTGACTCGTCAAGACCAGTGACAGACTTAAGAACCACCTTGACCCACTCAAAGTGTCCCAAAGAAGAAAGACATCTATTGACTTAAAGTATACCAAGGATAGTGACCGACTTACAAAGGAACTTCCGTGACCTGACTTGTCAAGCCCAGTGACAGACTTGAGTACTTTGAGCTACTTAAGATGTCTCAAAGAAGAAAGACATTGAGTGACTTGAGGTGCCCTAGGGACAGTGGATGACTTACCAAGGAACTTCAGTGGCTTACTTGTCCAAGACCCATGACAGACTTGAGAAATACCTTGTGTGACTTAGGGTGTCCCAAAAGGAGAACACACTGAGTAAATTGCTGTGTCTCAAGGATAGTAACAGACTTACCAATGAACTTCCATAGCCGACTTGTCAAGACAAGTGACAGTTTGAAGTTTGAACAACGGACCAACATCATGGTACATGGTTAGTAACCCTATAAATACTCCTTTCTTCTTCTAACTCAAGTCCGAAGAAGCTTAGCACAGTGTACAGACTCTCTAAAATACTTTAGGTAGATTTTAAGCTAAAAATTATGCTCGGGCAGCCCCGTTAGGCTACTCTTTTTTATTTCCAACTGCCAAGGGATTTTTTATGTGTGCAACAATGCACATGGGCGTCCACGTGAAAAAATCCCAGCTCTTACCGAGTATTGAACCCGGAACCTCCAGCATTCCTGGCGGACACCATGCCCCGAACCACACAGCCCCCCGACCAATGACAGATCTGTGTTGTATTATGCGCAATTGATTATGTTTTTTAAGGAACAACATATTGAGCAATGGCCCCAAGAAAAAAGACATCTATTGACTTAAATAGTGCCAATGAAAATTAACAAGGTAACAAGAAACATTCAGTGAATGAATGACCTAAGGTGTCATAAAGGAGAAAGACCTCGAGTTGTGTCTCAATGGAGAAAGTGGGTGACTGAATATTCCCAAGGACAGTTAATACCTTATCAAGGAACATCAGTGAAGACTTACTAAGGAGAACTAGTGAACATTTTCCAATGTACACTGACTTAAAATTTCCCAAACAAGAAACCATCGAGCGACTTAAGGTGTACCAATTTGGTGAATGCCTTATGAAATACATAGCCTGCTTTAAGTTGCCCCAAGAACAGTGGTTGACTTACCAAGAAACATCAGTGAATGACTTACAAAGACCCATCACTAACATGTATTCTGAGCAACTTTCTGTGCCTTTCGACCCTTAAAACCCATCTAACTGGTCGCCATGACAATTTACTCCTCTTGCTGAACATCCATATCTAACATTGTGACATGACACCAAGCCAATTTAATATATTTTATTGCCTTTTCCCCCCTCAATATCAAGTCATAGCACCATATGCCCTGAGGACCCCTAAAACTCTTCATGTTACTAGCCAACTAGACTCCTTCACTGAGTCACCGGCACCTAACACTGTGATACAACACCAACCACTGTTGTCATAATTTTTTGCTTTTATAAAAAACTATATGCCCAGGTGGCCCTAACACCCCACATCTAATCAGTCGTCACGATAACTTGACTACCTCGCTTAGCCACCGACATCTTTGCTTATCAGCTAACAACCGACACCACAACTGGCCCAGGGAAAAGATGGTCGCCCACTTCCCGTCCTTTGCTTATCAGCTAACAACCGACAC